ATTATCATATATTATTATATTTTTATTATTACATATAGGATGGACAAACAACAAGGTCCTACTAATAGCACAAGGAACTATATTTGACACCCTGTGATAAACCACAATGGAAAAGAATATAAAAGAAGAATGTCTATCTGTCTATAACTGAGTCACTCTGCCATACAGCAGAGATTGTCACGACACTGTAAACCAACTAGACTTCAGTAAAAAAAAAATCAGCATCAGCTATAAACAGAAAAATAATTTTAAATTAAAAGTATTCAAGGAAATAAAGGATATCAAGATAAGTAGTAGGTGACCAGTTGTGTAAAGCATCTAAGAAAAGGGGAATTCAGTTAACAATGGGTCCTATATTCACAGGGATCTCACATGACAATCAGAAACCAAGTGAGTCAGGAGGAAGGCAGGAAAGGATGAGACAGAAATAAGCACAGAATGAAAGGTGAAGATCCAGGGAAAGAAGGAACTCTTTCAGGGAGACAGCTGATTAGTACTGTTTTGTTGATTAACCAAGGTAGGCCAGAGAATGTCAATGGATCTGCAGAGGAAAATAACCCAAAACATTGTGCTTCTAACACAGTATTCACCCTTGCACACAGAACAGTGGATATCCTACAAATTGCACATTAGAATCATTCAGGTGTTCTCATAGCTTTGAAAGACATCCCTATATTTGGTATAGTTTCAGCAGCAGGTAGCTCAGACCAAACTTTAAAATGAAAAGAAAATAACATTTAATATCTACCATGTGCCAAGCATTAGTAAAGAATTTATATACATTATCTAATTTAATTATTCATTCATTCTGTATGCACTACACACCAGCTATTGTGTCAAATACTTACCCAACAATGTTATGATACAAGTGTTTATTAATATCCTTGTCTAAAATCACACGCTAAAAACCTCTCCATTGCTTAGATCAGCTGATGAATACATGTTTAAGAGATTACATCACTTCTGGTTGAAGATGGGCAGAATAGAAGGACAGGCACTCATCTCCTCCTGAAAGAGCACCAAAATCGAAACTAGCTATTGAACAACCATCAACAGGAGGATGCTGGAACCCACCAAAAAAAAGGTACCCCACATCCAAAGACAAAGAAGAGACAGCAATGAGATGGTAAGAGGGGTGCAAACATGATAAAATCAAATCCCATACCTGCTGGGTAGGCAACCCACTATCTGGAGAACAATAAATACCAAAGAAGTTCTACCACTGCTGTGAATGTTCTGAACCTCATGTCAGACTTCCCAGCCTGGGGATCCAGCCAAGAGACTGGGAGTCCCCAGGGAATCTGACCTTCAAGGTCCATGGAATTTGATTACAGGACTTCCACAGGGAAACAGACTCCACTCTTGGCGGGGGCAAACGAAATCTTGCGTGCATGGAGACCCAGGGGAAAGGAGCAGTGGCCCCACAGGAGACTGAACCAGACCCACCTGCTAGAGTTGGAGGGTCTCCTGTGGAGGCGTGGGTCGGCAGGGGCTCACCACGGGGACGAGGGCACTGGCGGCAGCAGTAGTCCTAGAAGGGGCCCCTTGGCATGAGTCCTCTTGGAGGCCACCATTAACCCTACCAGAGAGCCAGTAGACCCCAGGGCTGGGTTGCCTCTAACAGAGGCAAACAACTAACAGAGTGAGTGCAACCACACCCATCAGTGGAGAATTGGATTAAAGTTTTACTCGGGCTCTACCCACGAGAGCAAGTCTCAGTTTTTCCCACCACCAGTCCCTTCCATCAGGAAGTTTATACAAACCTCTTAGCCTCTTCCACCAGAGGGCAGACAGAAGAAGCGAGAACCACAATCCCTCAGTGGCGAGAACCAAAAACACACCACAGGGAGTTAACCAGGATGAAAAAGTAGAGGGTTTTGTCCCAGATCAAAGGGCAAGATAAAACCCTGGACAACAACTGAATGAAATGGAGATGGGCAACCTTCCAGAAAAATGATTCAGAAAAATGACAGCGAAGGTGATCCAGAATCTCAGAAAAAGAATGGAGGCAAAGATTGAGAAAGTACAAGAAATGTTCACCAAAGATCTAGAACTAAAGAACAAACACACACACAGATGAACGATACACGAGAAGGAATCAATAGCAGAATAACTGATGCAGAAGAACAGATACGTACCTGGAGGACAGAACGGTGGAAATCACTGCCACAGAACAGAACACAGAAAGAAGAATGAAGAACATGAAGACTGCCTCAGAGAACTCTGGGACAACATTGTAAGTACCAACATTCACATTATAGGGGTCCCCAAAGAGAGAGAGAAAGGACTTCAGAAAATATTTGAAGAAATAATAGCTGAAAACTTTCCTAACATGGGAAAATAGTCATCAAGTCCAGGAAGGACAGAAAGTCCCAGGCAGGATAAACCCAAGGAAGAACGCACCAAGACACATAGTAATCAAAATGATAACTATTAAAGACAAAGACAAAATATAAAACACAACAAGGACAAAAGGACAAATAACATACAAAGGAACTCCCATAAGATTATCAGTTGATTTTTCAACAGAAACTCTAGAAGCCAAAAGGGAAGGGCATGATATATTTAAAGTGATGAAAAGGAAGAACTTACTACCAAGAATACTCTACCCAGCAAGACTCTCATTCAGATTTGATGGAGAAATCAAAAGCTTTCCAGACAGGCAAAAGTTAAGAGAATTCAGCACCACCAAAAGCAGCTTTGCAACAATACTAAAGGAACTTCTCAAGGCACAAAACACGAGAAGGAAAAGACCTACACAAAATAAATCCCAAACAATTAAGAAAATGATAATAACATACAGCTGTTCAGTCGCTAAGTCACGTCTGAGTCTTTGTGACCCCACAGACTGCAGAACGCCAAGCTTCCCTATCCTTCCCCATCTCCCAGAGTTTGTTCAAACTCATGTCCATTGAGTCAGTGATACCATCCTACTATCTTATCCTCTGTCACCCTCTTCTCCTCAGTCTCTCCCAGGATCAGAGTCATTTCCAATATGTCGGTTCTTCACATCAGGTGGCCGAAGTATTGGAGTTTCAGCTTCAACATCAGTCCTTCCAATGAACACCCAGGACTGATCTCCTTTAGGATGGACTGGTTGGATCTCNCTGCTGGTACAAAGATAAAAAAGAGTACTCTTTTCCTTTGGAAGATTACAGTCTATTGACAAGACCAACTTGAAAAGTATTATTCTATTCTGTGGTACATACGAACCACAGAGGTGCCAGAGAAGACATAGGTGGCTTTGGCAATCAAGGCAGGTATCATAGGGCAGAAGAGTCATACTGAGACATGAATAATACCATGTAGAAGGGCGAATAAAATCCTGTAGGATTTGCAGGGTCAGTATTAACATCCAACGCTTATTAAACATTCAAAACCGCATGTTTTTAGAAAACAGTTTGGCAATTCCTTAAAAATAATTAAAATATGGACTATGACTCTGCAATTCCTCTGTGGGGTATATGCCCAGAAGAAGTGAAAACAGGGACTTGAGCAGACATTTGTACATCCATATTCACAGCAGCATTATTCTCAATAGCCAAAAAGAGCAAGCAATCCACTGCCCGTGGGCAGACAAATGAAAATACAAAATGTATATACATTTAACGCATATACATTACATATAATGGAGTATTATTCAGCCATAAAAAAGAATTTCTGACACAAGCTATAACATAGATGGACTGTGAAGACATTATACTAAGTGAAATATGCCAGTCATAGAAGGACAAATATGGTATGATCCTATTTATATGAGATTCCCAGAGTACTCAAATTCTTAGAGACAAGGAGTAGAATGCTGGTTGCCAGGAGTCAGAGGGAGCAAGGAATGGATAGAAAACTTCTGGAGATAGGTGGTGATAATGGTGCTGCAACAACATGAATATATATATAGTGACTTAGAACTATACGCTTAAAAATGGTTAAAATGATAAGCTTTATTAAATATCACAGAGGGTAAAAAGGACTATAATCTCAATTTTGTATTGACTAATCAGAAAAGTAATTAATGGATCAACAACTATTTATTGAATACCTCCTGGATTGTTGGGCTTCTAATTACTACCATGAAGTAGAAACACATTCACTCCAGCATGAAAAACTGTAGCTTCTTTTCGAAAAGTTACAAGTTGCTAAGACAAGTTACTTAAAGCAAAGTCAGAATTCATCTCCAAGTGAAAAAAGCTGCATTCCTCATTGTCCATGGCTTAAAAGCAACTAATAAATATCTTCTTTGGATGAACTCAGTTCAGTTACTCAGTCACATCTGACTCTTTGTGACCCCATGGACTGCAGCACACCAGGCTTCCCCATCACCATCTCTCAGCATCAGGGTCTTTTCTAATGAATCAGTTCTTTGCATCAAGTGGCCAAAGTATTGGAGCTTCAGCTTCAGCCTCAGTCCTTCCAATGAATATTCAGACTGACTCCCATTAGGATGGACTGGTTTGATCTCCTTGCAGTCCAAGGGACTCTCAACTGCAAGGGATAAAAATCTATGCTCTGGAAAGTAATACTTTGAAAAAGTCTGAAGTGACCAAAAACAGTATATGATTTCTTAAAAAACAGTAAATCATAGATAATATATTAAAATATTTATGATAACAACCAGAGTTCACTCAGTTCAAACAAGCTCAGCAAGCACAGAACACAAAGGTAGGAATAAGAGAGAACAAGTTCTGCAGTTCTAGAACAAAGCAAATCTTTCAGTCATTTGTATTAATTCAAGGTTCCAGTTACCATAGGTTTTACTGCCTGCCTATTTTTTCACAGGTGATTCCCTCTGGCTCAGACGGTAAAGAATCTGCCCACAATGTGGGAGACCCAGGTTCAGTTCCTGGGTTGGGAAGATGCCCTGAAGAAGAGAGACATAGGAGCCTGGCAGGCTATCCATAGCGTTGCAAAGGGTCGGACATGACTGAGTGACTGACGCTATTTTTTCTATTCCCAACAAACAAAATTATTTTTCAATTATAATACAACTTGACTCTACTTACTCCTGTTGGAAACATCTGAATAACATTTCCAGCTACATCTAGAATTCTCAGGTTGAAAAGATCACAAAGTCCCTGTGTCAGGAAACAAAAGAGAGAAAGAGAGCTTTTACAAATCTAATATGTAGCATCATAAATATCTCTTGTAAGTTTAAACTTGATGACGTTGATCACCTTTCCTAATTACCTGATCAGTACTCTCCCCAAGGAAATCACGACGAATGAAGCACCAGATTCTCTGAATTCTCCATCTCCTCTGACCACTCCAGGGCGACATAACAGGGTGGCCAAGAGCTAGACTATTTGTAGTAAATATCTGTAGGTTCAAATTCACCTCGGATACTTACTATGTATCTGTGGGCAAATTTCTTAATCTTTGTACTTTAGCTTCTCCATTTGTAAAGTGAAAATGTTAATGGAAACCCCTACCTTCAATATACCAGCAAGGAGATCCAACCAGTCAATCCTAAAGAAAATCAGTCCTGAGTGTTCATTGGAAGGACTGATGATGAAGCTGAAACACCAATGCTTTGGCCACCTGATGCGAAGAACTAACCCATTTGAAAAGTCCCTGATGCTGGGAAAGATTGAAGGTAGGAGGAGAAGGGGACGACAGAGGATGAGACGGTTGGATGGCATCACCGACTCAATGGACATGAGTTTGAGTAAACTCCGAGAGCTGGTGATGGACAGGGAGGCCTGGCGCGCTGCAGTCCATGGGGTTGCAAGGAGTCGGACATGACTGAGCGACTGAACTGAACTGAACTGACCTTCAATATGGACACTGAATGCATTAAACAAATTACTAATCAGAAAGTGTTCACTAAAGGGTTTAATAGATACTGAGTATCTATTAGTAGACATTTCTACCATTAAAATAGAAAGAATCTTTGGGAGACAGAAAACAGACGTAATTCCACTGGCACTTGTTTCACAACTACCTCTTGTGTAGCACTGAGCTGACACAACCCTTTCCTCATAAAGGAAATCCGTTAGTCTAGCCACATGCCCAATGGGACTGGATGGGCATATACATTCAGACGTATGTGTGCAGACATACACATGATTTACAACAGACCAGAAAATGATTCACAATATGTTAATTATCAAAACAAATGACTATTTTCTGCAATGCCTTATCATTTATAATGCAGACCAAAAAGAACAATGATAGACTAAATCATATTAAACGTACAAGGATATAAATGATTACAGGCATTCTTTGCATGATAATTCAGGACAGGATTTACTAGCATTCAAGTTTTTTTAAAGTTTAAAAGCCTCAGGGTTTATAAATTTGTAGTAAGACTATTGATTTGAAATATGGACTTTTATGTTAGACAGGCATGGATCTAAGATCCTTCCTTGACCTTTGCAAACTATGCTTGAGTCACATAACCACCCTGATCTTTATTCTAAAATGAGTATAATAAGAGATATATGATAAAGTTGTTATAAACACAACATAATGCTTCATGATGATCCTGCTGCTGCTGCTGTTGCTTTCCTTCAAATAAGAGAGGCATGCTTTTAACAGGTTTATTCTATAAATTCAAGATATTTTACTTGTTTATACTAAGTAGGATTTTAAGGAATATAAGAATAAAATTTTCAACATATACTTATTTACAGCCTATACCTTGGTATATTTTTACACATATTACAGTGTGCACAGAATTTTTAAAGGAAACATCTTCTTTAGAGAAAAGTGAAATAGTAGGAATTAATCTATTTTTATTCCTCAGATTACTGCATGCCATGCCTTTCCTCCTATCAACTTAATTCTAATTTGCATAAATAAGGAAGGTAAACCTGTTGACAGGTTCCTAATAAGAAACAGTACTCTCAAACTGGAAAAACTGAGGAGAGTTTAATAAAGTCACTGTTTATAAAAAGTTTGACAGGGTTTAGGAAAACCAACAAAGTTCCCTAAGTCAAGAAATGTTGTTCCCTAAACTTACAAAGTTCCCAAAAGCTAGCAACAGCAGGGAGTTCTTTAACACCACAGGTCGAAAGAGCCAAGGGAATGTAAGAATGTTCACATGGTAATGTTCTGATGATCACAGGACATTAGCTATGACCCTCAGAGAGGCATGCAGGCAGCTCACAGCAACCTTCTAGAGACAGCACCAGGGGAAAACCATCTGGTCCTCAGTCTCCAGGGCTTCCCAGGGGGTTCAGTGGCAAAGAAGCCGCCTGCCTACACAGGAGATGTGGGTTTGGCCCCTGGGTTAGGAAGATCCCCTTGTGGAGGAAATGGCAACCCACTCCAGTACCCTAGCCTGGCAAATCCCATGGACAGAGGAGCCTGGCAGACTCCAGTCCACGAGGTCACAAGGAGTCAGACATGACTGAGCAAGTGCGCATGCACGCACTCATCTTCTCCCGCCCTTTCACCTCCTGATACCGCCTCTCATTCACATGTCCTAGAGGGAATCAGAAGACAGAGGAGGTCACTAATGCTCATACACTCCAGTCTCCCAGACACGGAGAAGAACGCAGGTCGGAAAAGGATGGGCGGTGGATATAAAGGAAAAATGGAAGGTATCTAGCATATATTCCAAAATCAAAAAGTACTTATACTTTGTGCTATACACAAAGTTGCCAGATAAAAATACAGGAGACTCACTTAAATTTAAATTTCAGACAAAAAAGATAACATTTTTTAAATGTATAAGTATGTCCCATGCAATATTTGGGACTAAAAGAATTAAAAGAATTCTTCTTTGGTAGTCTGAAATTCAAACTAAAGCATTTTGTATTTCTATTTACAAAGTCTAGCATACCTAGCCTTGTAAAAAAGAAATCCAAGTTATAAGCTTCTTTTTTCACAGTGATTTGGGAACTTATCATACGTAATCAGAGAGAAAGCAGATGATGGCTTGTACTCAGATGCCCTAATCCAGTCTATAACTGCTCTCTATCACGGTGTAATGAGTTTTTCACCAACAAAAGAAAATCTGATTCCCTCTTTTGCTTACCTCTGGCAAAGATTTAATGTTGTTCCTGGCCAGAAGAAGCTGCTGGAGCTTCTTCAAGAACTTAATTTCTTTGGGTATGCACACAAGCTGATTGTAGTTAAGTTGAAGTTCAGAAAGATTCTCAAGGAAACAAAGTTCTCTAGGAATGCTGGCTAGCTGGTTATGATTTACACTCAAACATCTAAGATTTTTTAATCTAAAAAATAAACAAAATATATGAATGAAATTCACAAGAATAAGGAAGTCCATTGTACATTTATGTACACATACCATTTATCAGAGCCACGTATCAATTCATATTTTTTGTAGCTCATCTGAGCTTTTTTCCAGTCAAGTATTCACAACTACAATGAATCATTTGAGGATAAAAAAAAATCTTTGCTGTAATTTAACTTTTAAAGATATTTATGATCAGATGGTTCATGCTTAAAGTATTTTATGTAATCAAAACCTAGATTTAAAAGAAAGAAAATTCTGTCTTCAGTCTTTGTACATATACTTTATTAATAGTTATATTGAAGAGGAAGCCAGAGATCAAATGCCATATATACACATATGGATATAGATATAGATAGGGATAGATTTAGATATAGATCATATATTCTGTACCACTTAGATGCTGTGTAATATGCAAAGACAGGTTGACCACAATTCTACCCTTATATATATCACTGTCTAGAAGGAGGTCTTAGAGACACAAAATAAGGAGAGCAAATACCAACAAACAGTGAGAAAAGGATTAACGTTTGAGCCTGTAATTGCAGATATAGTACCTGAGGTTCACAAGCACTTTGGATAACCAACACTGTGAACTTGGCCTGAAACAAGTAGGGCAACAGGGAGGCATAGTAAACATGCCTTGAGTAATATTCTCCTTCAGAAAATATTAAGTGTATTTTGAATAAAGAAGCCAGAAGAAATAAGCATTGAAAGTGAAAAGTGAAGTCACTCAGTCATGTCTGACTCTTTGCAACCCTGTGGACTGTAGCCTGCACCAGGCTTCTCTGTCCATGGGATTTTCCAGGCAAGGGTACTGGAGTGGGTTGCCATATCCTCCTCCAGAGTATCTTCCCGACCCAGGGATCGAACCTGGATTTCCCGCATTGCAGGCAGATACTTTACTCTCTGAGCCACCAGGGAAGGTAAAATAAGCATTACTGAGCACCAGCTATGTACTTGTGCATTAAATTTAATCAACAGCACAACCCTAAGGTTGGAATTATTACATTTAATCCAGAAATAAGGAAAATAAAGGATCAGAGGCAGTGAATAACTTGTTTAACTTAACCATCAGAAAATAGTGTCAAGATTCAAATGTAGACATGTCTTCTTGCAAAGCTAAGAATGAGGATTTATAATGCTCTAAAGGTATTAAAGTAATAACAGAATGAGGTGCTATTTCTCGGCAGTTGTAATGGGGCCTGGAGCTTAGGATAATAGTGCAAGTGAAAGAGATTTATGGAAAGACTCTATGATCTCGATTGTGGAAGCCATATGAATAGATAAGGCTGACACAAAGAATAACAACAAAAGGGCAGAGAGAGACAGAGAGGAAGCCAACGGAAAGATTCTTGAGAAATATGAACATCTGATCCCCTCCCAAAAGGCACTCAGAGAAGGCAAAAGCAGAAGAATATATAAACCAGGTTAAGAAGTAATTTCTAAAGGTATGGGAGAAGAGTATTTCAAAATTAAAAAGATGGGCAAAACTTTAAATATTAAAATATTAAAGAGAAGTAGTGCAAAAAAAAAAATCGAAACCTACTAGAACTAAAAGCAGGGTCACAGACTACAAAGTCTCTATTTTAAATTTATTTTATGTGTATATTGTAGCCACAAACAACTGGAAGATAAAATTTTCAAAATTCCATTTACATCAAAAAACACACAAAATAGTTAAGAATACATTTAATGAAAGACAATACTGTACTCTGTTCTCCAAACAGAGCTAAGCTTACTGAATTGTGAACTCATAATATGTTATAGCTGCAAGAATTTTGAAGTTCATCTTCTCAAACTCTTCCTTTAGAGATGAGAAAACCAAGATCCAAGACAGTTAAAATACTTGGCCAACCTCACAAGGCTAGTTGCACAAAGTTACGACCTGAACCTAATTCACCTGATCTTCCAAAGTGTCTTTTTTCATTACATCACCAACATATAAATCAACTGATAAACTGAATGAATGAAAAAGCAAGAAGACAACTATTGGCATTTTATTACTATAAACATTCATTTTCTTCAGAAATGAGATAGCTTCAAATATTTTTCTAGGTGCTTTTATTTAAAACATTACTTTTTCTGTAAACATCTATCTTGGAAAAATACATTGGGTAGATGTATAGACAAGTAAACTGGAATAAACTTTAGGTAAGGCAGAAAGCCTTTTGTTGAGAACTATTCATAGTATTAGATCCTTCCTTCAAAAATCTGGATGTTCTTATGTTGTAATACATCTGTTTCTGTTCAACAGGCAATAGGAGTCTCCAAAGTAACCCTGATTAGGTTTCTCTCTCCAACAGTCAGAAGAAAAGCCCAAGGGGGTATTCTGCCAACAGAAGGACAAGGCCCTCAGCTGGCTCCAGAGAGCCACCATAACAGCAGCTCATCCATGCAAATGTGAGTGATATAAAATGTGGGTTTTTTCCCCATGAAAATGACATACTGATTTAAAAGTCTTTATTCTCACATTACCTATTCCATCAAGCTGAAAATGTTTTACTGTAGTTTAAAGTCCCCAGTTCTATAGCAGAGCAAGCTCCAAGAACCCCCACAGTTAGGAAATCAGTAACAATCAACTTTAGAACTGTTTCAAACCCTCACTTTTATACTTGGACTACCAAATCATGCTGTTTCTCATTTTTCTGAAGTGTTTAAAGAATCATCTGCTTAAAATTAGTGGCTTGCCTCAGTCTTTCAATTGCTCTTTGCCATGTATAAATCTCAGAAGGACTTGAGTCTGGGCATATGATGTTCTAAGACCAGCTGGGAGGACACCAGCTGACGGGGGAAGGGGGAAAAGCAACCATCTATCATTATAACAAAATTACCTGCCAATTTCTCGAGGAATCCATGTAAGCTGATTGTTGTTCAGATTAAGCTGGATCAAACTTTGTAAACCATCTGTTAGAAAATAATTTCGGTCACTTTAGCTATCTGTTAGAAAATAATTTTTAGTCACTTTTCCATACACTTTTGTTCTCCTTGTTTTCTTGCCTTGGCCAAGGTTCTTTGGGTGCTGGTAACTGATACTCTCTTAAATTAGTTTAAGCAAAAAGCTACAATTTACCACAAAGTTACAGAGCTAAATTGTGGCCCCTGAGGACACAGCAGTACTGCCAAACTCACAACAAACTTGAAGCAGAAACCCAAAGGCACCGGCACCCAGGGCTGTTTTAGTTCTACTTTTGAGACCTGCAAGAGGAGCCCCATAAACGTTTGCAAAGCGCCATGAATCAAGCCCAAAGGGTCTTCTAGACCCGCAAAACTCATTCACCCAACAGAAAACCTATCAAAGGCCCCGTGGCCCGCAGGCACCTCCCGCCCCGGCAGGGGTCTGCAGACCTCCCGCCAGGGGGCTGCAGTCTCTTGGGGAGTAGGCAGGCAGAACTCCGTAGGGAAGAAAGCGAAGCAGACGCAGAGCGTGCTCCACGACGTTCAAGTCCAGAGCCAGGGTCTCCCTGGAGCGGAAGGAGCAGATGTGCACTAGCCTGTGAAACAGTTTCTGATCTTCCCGGGAGACTGGAAGGACCCGGGAAATGCTGTGCGGTCTTTCGTGGAAAACAGGTCCTCTTCGGTCACCAGCATCTGCGCGGAGCGCCAAACGAAGTCGAGTGCTCGGGGGCTCTCCCCACTCTCCGCGCCGAGTACTGTGATGGCTGCCTCTGGCGCCCCTCCTGCGTGCAGGGAGCCGGGCTTGCCCGCGCTACTCGTGGACACGGTGGACGCCGTGGACGCCGTCGCGCCGATGCCTCCCAGCCCCTGGGGGAGGTCGATCTCCCAGGCCCCACTACCAGCGCCTTGAACTTGAAGTCGGTGATTCCAGACTGAGTGTACCCCATTTCTAGGTACATCTTCGTCTCCCCAGCAGTCTCCCTGGTTGGACTTGGCCTCAGACCTCCCCAGGAGACAATCCGTTGCTGCCTGGGCCTGCCCCGCCCTATCCTTTTTCCAACATGCTAAGCCCTGCGGTGCAGCGAGAGTCACGTTAATAAGAATACATGTGTATAAACACACATAATACGCAATTTTACACGTGTGTGTACACATGTATGTATCAGTTCAGTTCAGTTCAGTCACTCAGTCGTGTCCAACTCTTTGTGACCCTATGAATCGCAGCACTCCAGGCCTCCCTGTCCATCACCAACTCCCGGAGTTTACTCAAACCCATGTCCATCCTAGAGAGCATATTGAAAAGCAGAGACATTACTTTTTCAACAAAGGTCTGTCTAGTCAAGGCTGTGGTTTTTCCAGTGGTCATGTATGGATGTGAGAGTTGGACTATAAAGAAAGCTGAGAACCAAAGAATCAATGCTTTTGAACTGTGGTGTTGGAGAGGACTCTTGAGAATCCCTTGGACTGCAATGAGATCAAACCAGTCCCTAGGAAGGTTTAGCCTCCAAACACAGGGGCAAGAGATATCTGTGTTGGTGNAGGTTTCTCAAGAGGCAGGTCAGGTGGTCTGGTATTCCCATCTCTTTCAGAATTTTCCACAGTTTATTGTGATCCACACAGTCAAAGGCTTTGGGGTGTGTGTGTGTGTGTGTTTATATATATCACAGTCCTGTGAACAACATGCGGGCATTCGAGGCACCCATCCTCCACCAGTGGAAAAATCCACATATAACTTCCAGTGGGTGCTCCCATCTGTTCTTCCTCTGTACCCCAGGATTTAACCAACCTGGAAAACTGCAGTACAGCAGAATTTACCATTGAAAAAATACCCTGGTATAAGTGGACCCACAATTCAAACCTGTGTTGTTCAAGGGCCAACTGTATGTATTGAGTACACATATATACAGTCCTTTGACTTCTCTTGGTAGTCACAGAGGGTCTCCTGGGCTTCTGGTGTGTCCTCAGAATCACTGAACTGGGTTGTGATGGTCAAGGAGACCCCCACACCAGCTCCAGGCTAACAGTCTGTCTCTCTCCAGGAGATTCTCCAAGTCTGGGAGATTATATTCTCTGGGAATCTCTGCAGAATACAGTTTCATTTTTCTTTATAGCTTCTCTAAGCTTCACATTCATATTCTCTCTCTCCCGCATTCCTTCACTCATTCTTTCACTTTTAAACATATTATCTCTACTTTTCCATGTATCCATATAGCCATCCCACAACTCCTGCGTTTGAGTGGTTATGGAGTAGACAGAGTTCTCAGGCTGAAACACCTACAGGAACCGAGAAGATAACTCAAAACACAACAGTGGGCCTAGCAGGGGTTTACCTGGCAGGGGTGCACGGAACTAGTGAGCACATGCTTTTTGCCACAGGGGACCTGCATTTCGGCCAGCTCCCAACAACTGGTGTCATGTGGGAATGTGAGTCCATCGTTGTCTAATCTTTCTTTTTCAGAGAAACAAAAAAGAGCCAGAGATCCAGACTTTTATATGAACTCTCTTAATTTGCAAATTTGGTTGTTCAGTTGCCAAGTTGTGTCTGACTCTTCACGATCCCACGGAGTGCAGCACACCAGGCTTCCCTGTCCCTCACTATCTCTCTGAGTTTGCCCAAGTTCATGTCCACTGAATCAGTGATGCCCTCCGGCCATCTCATCCTCTGTTGCCCTCTTCTCCTTCTGCCTTCACTCTTTCCCAGCATCAGGGTCTTTTCCAATTAGTTGGCTCTTCGCATCAGGTAGCTAAAGTATTGGAGCTTCAACTTCAGCATCAGTCCTTCCAATGAGTATTCAGTGTTGATTTCCTTTAAGATTGATGGATTTGATCTCCTTGCTATACAAGGAAGGGACTCTCAAGAGTCTTCTCCAGGACCACAGTTCAAACTCAGTGCTCTGCCTTCTTTATGGTCCAGCTCTCACATCTGTACATGACTACAGGAAAGACCATAGTATTGACATATGGACCTTTCTTGGCAAGATGATGTCTTTGCTTTTTAACACACTGTCTAGGTTTGTCATAGCTTTCCTGGCAAGAAGCAACCGTCCTCTAATTTCCAGGCTGCAGTCACCATCTGCAGTGATTTTGGAGCCCAATAAGAGGAAATCTGTCACCTCTTCCACCTTTTCCCCATCTATTTGCCATGAAATGACGGGACCAAATGCCATGATCTTCATTTTTTTAATATTGAGTTTTAAGCTGGCTTTGACCCTAATTCAGAATTTTAGAGAGACAGACAAAATAGAACCAACCTATTTGTAAACCAGATTCACCACACAGGTCACCAGTTTGCAACTTTTCTCTTAGTTCATGTGGTTAGCTCAGACCAGAAAAACTGTTTTGGATTCTGTCATAAATCCCAAGAAAGAGAATGTGACTGACTCAGCTTGGCACATGTCTTACCCTGGTCCAGTCTACTCTGATGGGGTAGGGACAGGGGCAAGAACAGCACCACGCAATACATGTTGGACACCAACCTGCTTCTGCCTTTGGATAAGACCTGGCACAGAACACAGTTTGTGTCACTCATATGAGATTTTCAAAGTTCGACAGCCCCAGATGAAGAAACAGAGAAACTACAGACTTTCAGGGGTAAGGTACTGTACACAGATTACATATATTTTTTTAAGCCTCAAATTTAAGAGCAACATGAGAAAAAATTTCTTTGCAGAAGCCTAAAATAGCACGAACCAGGTTGCCTGATATCATTTATACACATCAGATTTTACCTGTTTGCCCCTCAGTGTAGTTCATAAATATTATTATGAACTTTTTTGCATGCCCTTAATTTTTTCTAATTTATAAACTGTTTTCTTTGTAAGTAAATTATAATTGAACCCTGTGTCTATAAGCTTGTATATATAATGTACATGCCATTAATAAGTTTATTACAGCTATTATTTTGTGAAAAAGTATTTCTCCAAGACACATGATCTAACATTTTAAAACACTTTAGAGGTAATGCTAGAACCTACTTGTGCTTTTGTTATATGCCCACACCTGAGACCCCTGACACTGCACCTTTAATAGACACCGCTCAGTGACAATGATGACGGTATAGAGTGCCCATGCCTCAGAAGTTCACAGGGCGTCATGAATTCTACAGCTCTGATTTTACCACTGGGGACACATAAAGTGGTGAAGTGCCTTAGATGAGACAATGAAGCTATAAAGATTATCTGGATCTCTTTGTCATGTGTTCTATCCTTAAGCATATTCTACCTATATTAAATAGGAAAAATGTCATATTAAATGGAGAAATTATTAGCTTAAGGGAAACACAAAGAAGAAATGTGATTTATTTAACCTCATATCTTTTCTTTAAAATTCTCCCCAAGTTGAGTTAAGCTTCACATCTTTTTTTTAAATTTATGTATTTATTTTAATTAGAATCTAATTACTTTACAATATTGAAGTGGTTTTTGCCATACATTGACATGAATCAGCCATGGGTGTACATGTGTCCCCCATCCTGACCCTCTCTCCCACCTCCCTCCCCATCCCATCCCTCAGGGTCGTCCCAGTGCACCAGCCCTGAGCACCCTGTCTCATGCATCCAACCTGGACTGGAGATCTATTTCATATATGGTAGTATACATGTTTCAGTGCTATTCTCTCAAATCATCCATCCCACCCTCACCTTCTCCCACAGAGTCCAAAAGTCTGTTCTTTACATCTGTGTCCCTTTTGCTGTCTCACATATAGGGTCATTGTTACCATCTTTCTAAATTCCATATATATGTGTTAATATACTGTAGTGGTGCTTTTCTTTCTGACTTACTTCACTGTGTATAATAGGCTCCAGTTTCATCTACCTCATTAGAACTGATTCAAATGCAGCTTCACATCTTAAACAAAGATAGTGACTTAGTAGTTAAGATGGCGTAAAAAGTATAAAGAACAAGAAGAACTGTGGAGATGTTTCTTGATCTGATTTTCAACTAGTTTTCTCACTGGTCCAGAAAAAAGGGTGCTCAGACTTGACAGTCTACGTGTACCCTGATTCTGAAAAGGGGAAAATTTGCTAACATTAATTTAACACTTACTTATTTCCTTAGATTTACATGTAAAGAAATATATAACACAGTAGTTTTAAAAAGCTGTTCCCCAAATTCCCTAATTTCAAGTGTAAATATCTCAAACCAAAAAAGACTAAAATTCCTTTTTCACTTTAGTTCCAAATTGTTCAATATAAGGAAATTAACTTTGGCACTACAAATATGTTCTTATTTGACTAACTTACCACATACTCCAGATGCAAATCTATGTATCTTATTTCTAAACAAATGAAGCTTCTTCAGGGATGTAAGATATTTCATTTCTTCTGGAACTTCTTCTAAAAGGTTGTTTCCCAGATTTAGTGATGTCAACTGCAAACATATAGAGATTATTTAATAAACTCATACATTATCCACCTTCAAATGAGAAAAAAAGAATTAAGTCACTTTTCTGAGATCCATATAACCTAAAAAAAAATCATCATAACCTTAATTATTTCACATATACCTAAAATTACCTTTATAAATAAAGTTCACTTGAGTTTCATGTTCACTTTTATTTAAACACAAGTTCTCCATTAAAGTACTTAATTTCATTAAAATTTTATTACAAACCATTTCAAGGGTATTTAAAAACACAATTAACGATCCATTCATAACTCACTTGAGGAACTCAAGAGTATCCTAACACTGTGACTCATAGACGGAGAATCATTTAAAACTCAGCAAAGGGGCTGATTTCCTGAAATCAGAAATTAGCCAAAGATCTGAGGTCCTTCTGTCATACTAACCCCAAATGAACTTTTTCACTTAGGCCAGTAAGACATGGGTGGGGGTGGAGTAGGAAGGTAGCTGTTAACATCACTGTGATCACAAAGTTCATTCCAGAAACTATTAACATGATAGGTAGGGTAAGGGAGATCTGCTCTACATGTACCTACTAACATCAGATTGGTCAGACACAGGAAGGACCATACATAAGAGGAGTTAGAAAGATCCTCTAATCCAATAGATCCTTGACACAGGATTATTCCCTAAAGATGGGATTCTTCACTGATTTGAAATCTAGTTGTATCTTTCAAGCTTTGGAATCTCTTCTTTTACTCCTAAACACAGCTTATCGTTCAGGTTGCAATACAACTTCCATACTTCAGAATTTTAATATTAAAGGGTAAAAGAAAAAGAATCGTGGGAGTTTGACAAATTATTGAGTTTACATAAGAGAAGAAAAATAACTAAAAAGAAAATTAAGGCAGTTTGTGGTTTATATTTAAATACCACCTGGTGTTTGGTATGGATGTATGTTAATTATTTAAATTAATATAAAGTAGACATAGGTATATTTACAATGAAATTCCCTGTCCTTAGAATTCATGGAAAAGATATTATTTCAGAAATTCATGCTTTCCTCTGAGAATTACAATTATCCTATAAGCAAAAAAAATAATGCATCCATCCTGGAGGCCTTATTCTTTTGTGAAGCTTAAGTTAAAATATATTCATGTAGCCATGCCACTGAAAGACTTAATCCAGAGTCAGTGACTATATTAGTTTCCAATTGCAGCTATGACAAATTACCACAAATTTAGTGGCTTAAAACCATACAAATATATTATCTTACGACTCTGCAAATCAGCTATCAGAAGGGTCTCATTGACCTAAAATCAATGTGTTGTAGGGGTGTGTGTATTTTGGAGACTCTAGGAGGGAATCTGTTTTCTTGCCTTTTCCAGCTTCCAGAGGCTGCCCACACTCCTTGATATCTATCTGATACCCCTCTTGTCTTCAAAGCCAGCAATAGCTGGTCAAGTCCTTCTCAGATCACTTACTCTGAAGCTCCAAGGAAACGCAACCAAGTAAATATTAAAAAAAGAAAAAAATTTTATAAGTCCCCTAGTGCAGCAGATAAAATACAAGTGAGCAACTATTAGTATATCTTCTTCATGAACATGGTAATAAGTAGCTTTTTATTTCGCTAGGCAGTTTTACTTCACTCAATGGCCTATACTCTTAATTTCTATAACATATACAGTATTTAAAGCAATTTTAAACTATTTTTAAAAAGAATTTATTGCTGTTCAGAATGATCATATATATGCACATAATACATACATACACTCATTATACACACACACACAATGGAATTGTATGCACTATATGGATCTCTCATTTTATTCTTTTTCTACATGTTACACCATCTAGTCAGTATTTTGCAGTAGGCAAAGCACAGGCTTTGGAGACCATCTGCTACGCATGTACTAGCTCTGGGATCGCAAGAAAGTCACTCAAATTCCTAAGTCGCCCTTTCTATTTTTTTAAATGGAGATACAAGCATCTACTTCTCAGGGCTGTCTTAAGGATTAGAGACAATACAATGAAGTACCTGGCAAATAATGGATATTACAGAATGCTAACTGTAATCTTTTAGACTTAGGAGAAGACCATGGAACAAGATGTTAGACATACATCTAGGAATGCTTCTATGTTGACACTTCGACTCAAGTTTTCAAATTTTGAGCCTGTTTGTTTTCTTAATGATTTCTAACTCATTTTCCCAAAGATTTCTAAATTCACAGCCAATTTTGAATGACATTTTCAGGAAAGAGAAAAATATCTGTTATTCTGTTGACCACAGAATAATGACAGTTAATTTTGCTGGAAACTTTATTGTTTCCACAATGATAATGTTCAGATTATCATTATAATATTATATATAATATATATTATATATATGTATATATATATATATATTATATANTTTTAATTGGAGGATAATTGCTTTACAGTGCTGTGCTGGTTTCTGCTGAAGAACCACGTGAATCAGCTCTATGTATACATGCATCCCTTCTCTCCTGAGCCTCCCCCCCACCACCCCACCCTCTAGGTCCTCACAGAGCCCTGAGCTGAGCGTCCTATGCTACACAGGGCTTCCCACCGCTCCTGGTTCACACATGGCGGTGTGTATATGTCAGTGCCACCCTCCCAGTTTGTCCTACCCTCCCCTTCCCCCCACCCCCGGTCCAAGGGTCCATTCGCTACATCTGTGTTTCTGTTCCCGCCCTGTGAATAGGTTCATCTGTAGCATTTTTCTAGATTCCACATACATAATAGTGCATTTATTTATGAAGCACCTGCCACAAAAGAGTAAATCAGAATTTAAACTTCCACACTCCACATTTTCCCTCTTTCCTCACACTTTTCTGGTGAAGCTTCTAAGTCTCAAAATTTAGTTAGAGATAGGAACAGACTTCCAGAGCAATAGGCAGAGGGAAAGGTCTTTATTCTCAGTGTTGTCCATTCAGTGGGCTTGGATACATGGATAATATGCATCATTGTAACATCATGCAGAGTATTTTTACTGCCCTAAAAATCCACCATTCTCTACCAAGTCATCTATTTACTGCCTAAACTCCACAACCACTGAGCCAGTGGTGTTTATTTTGAAGCATGCTCAGGTTTCTGCAAGGGTTTTGGAGTGACTGGCTCAATCTGGACCCAATTCTCTGGTCATTTGCCTCTTATAAACTGGGAATCCTTGAAGGAGTACCCCAGGCAGGTGGCCCTCAATGTCATATTGTTGATACAAACAAGGCTGTTAACTGACTTGAAAGATGCTCTACTTACACATGTCCCTCAGTGAATGTTCATTTCATTTCCCCTTGCTTGGAGAAACTTAAACAAGTTATTACATTTTTAAAGATTTCTTGCTACATCAGTACCTTGCCCCATGTTATTATTGTTGTTGTTCAGTTGCTAAGTCATGTTCGACTCTGTGCTTGTACCTATTAATTACCACTAGGAAATTCTATGCTATTTATTATATCTTTCAATTAATTTTATTATTTCTAAAATGATATCCAAGACTAACTGGGAAAAAGAAATCAACTCAAACGTCCACTTTTATCTGGAAGTCTTTCTAAACTAAATCATGGACTTGATAACACCATTTTGGAATAAACTATTAAATCATTCACCTGAAACATGTACAAATATGTTTGAGCTGGTATTTGAAACACCAGTCCTTAAATTTCTTAAAGGACAGTAAATATTTCCATTCACTATACCTAAATAGTACATGTCAGGTTCTGTAAACTATTTAATAAAAATAATTGAATCAAATTAATAAAAGAAAAATAAAATTTTTACACTTTTTAATTAGTATGTGTATGGCCAAGGTATGTGGAAGAGGGCAGCATAATTAGGACTCAGCTTGCTAATTCTTTTTGCTTTTTAAAACTCTGTATTGGAGGACAGTTGAATCACAGTGTTATGCTAATTTCAGGTGTACCGCAGTGAACCAGTTATACATACACATATATCCACTTTGTGTTAAAATCCCAGATGGCTCAGAGAGTAAAGAAGCTGCCTGCAATGCAGGAGACCCGGGTTTGGTCCTGGTGTCAAGAAGATGCCCTGGAGAAGGGAATGGCAACCCACTCCAGTATTCTTGCCTGGAAAATTCCATGGAGAGAGGAGTCTGGCAGGCTGCAGTCCATGGGGTTGCAAAGAGTCAGACACAACTCAGGGACTAATACTTTTCAGCTTCAACACTTTCCCACATAGGCCATTCCAGCGTATTGAGTAGAGCTCCCTGCGCCACACAGTAGGTTCTTATTTTATTTACTACCTATTTTATCTATAGTAATGTGCACATGTCAGTCCCAATCTCCCCATTCATCTCTCCCTCCCTTACCCCCTAGGAACCATCTTTGTTTACTACATGTTAATTCTTATAAATGCCCCCCACTGTTTTTTAGGAATCTGGCACCTCAGTTCAGTACAACTGCCAAATGCATCTTCTGAGTCCAGCTGCTCCTGAAAGAATGTTTATTTGAATAACTTTGCTTATTTCAAAACTATTATGTAATTTTTCAGTAACTTAATATATCAAGTCAGATTTCTCAGAACAATTATAGTTTCACTGGAAATCATTTCAAGGTCAAGCATGACATCTAATCTCTAGAGGATTCCTTTGACCTCTAAAAACTACTCACTTAGAGCTCAAAGCTAATCCTATGGGAACTGGCATTTCTTATTCAACAAAGTTGGAAAGAATCTCTGGCAGTCTTACCACAAGCGTTAACAAGGCATTTTATCATACTGTCCAAAGCTTCTAAAGAAAAGACTAAAGAAGCAAGAATAAGAGTTCCAAATCCTGAAAAAGAGGAATTACAACACAAAACTCATTCCATTAAAATGTAAATCTTTAAATGTTTGGAAGAGCTAAGCATTTGGATGTTTGAGTGGGGATAGGGGCTAAAATTCTATGAATAGCCAACACTCGTAAGGCACTCTGCACAAGATGAGTCAAGGGAGGCACAGAGACATTATGTGCTCAGTCAGCAAAGTGAGAAGAGGGTTGGTGCTCTTCTGGAGATCGGACAGCCAGAGGAAGAAGCAGAAGTTCCAGTGGGGGTTCAAGAGGCTTCATGCCGCCTTGGGCATACAAGCAGAGGCAGAAGGAGGAGTCACACTAGGGCAGAGAGAAGGAATTCACTAGGTGCCTGTGTGCCAGGACAGGGCACACAGTATAAGGAGGCCTTGTTTTGATAGCAAAGCCAGGCTTGGAACACAGAAGGCATTGCCTATGCTTGAAGGAGGAAGACTGCATGTCCAGTGAATGAGACAGGACAAAGGACAGGCTTGATGTGGACAAACAGTACAAACGACATCAGGTCCTCACTGTTCTGCCAGGTTTAGCGAGACCCAGAATGCCCAGAGAAGGTGAGATAAGGAAAGGTGTTGCAAAAGCTTTTCCCCTGTGTCCTTCTGCATAACTCCCACCCTTCAGATCTCACCTCAGTTGCACTTTGCAGGTCTACCGTCCCTGATTTCTCTGACTACAGTTCCTCATGACCAATATAATTCTTCTTCATGACACTTTTCACAATTATAATTTTATATCTATTTGTATATTTGATTACCTTTCCCCAGTAAACCTAAGAGTAGGGACCCACGGATGTTTTCATTCCTTTTCGTATTGTCAGCATCTAGCAGAGTGCTAGTCTACTAGCAGGCACAAGAACTATTTGCTAAACACAGGAAAGGAGGATGGCAGGAAGGGAGGGAGGCATTCAGGGAGGGAGGTGACTGGGTTAGAGGTCATCCAAAAGGACCGTAAAAGTATGAAAAATAGAAACTATGGCTATAATGACAATTTACAAACTACCCAACTCTGCTGAGAGTTGCTCTTATTTACTGTCAATTATTTATGGTCAAATAAAAAGCTACCACAGACCATATCTTTGTCCTGGGCAGCCACACATGGGAGCCACCCAAGGAGATCATTGCTGTACTACCATTGCACTTTATGATGCATGTCAAAATATGCTGTACGGAATTAGAAATAAAGGCTATTTGTTTCTTTCGGGATTTAAAAACTCTGAGTGACTTGCCTATAAAGGATCTTAGTTTCTAGACGGTGCCATAATCATGACAGCCTGTACCTGATGAAGTTGGCCTCTGAGAACGGCTCACACCTCATCCCATTCAAGTCCACATTCCATGGTTTACTTACTGCAGTCAACAGGGGCAAGACAAGGCCTCCACCCTCAAGTCAAAATATGGTGCTTCTTTGAACACTGCTGATATCCCAGCACATCAACAGTCCCAGGCCAAATGCGTTCATCCTATGTTACAGGGCAGAGGCAGAGTCAAGATGGAAGGGTACGAGGATGCTGAGTTCACATCTCCTCACAGCGAGGCTAACTGCCAGCATGGGCAGGGGACCTCAGACCTCTAAGGTACAGGAGGAATCCCATGACCAGGCAGAACGTGGGAGAGGAGGGCGGGAAGTGGAGGTGGGACGTGAGTGGCACATAGACGGGACCAGGGTCCCAAGCCTGCTGGGTTCCCAGCCCGAACCTTTGGGCCCCTCTGACCACAAGGGTCCTGAGCCTATGCCTGCCCCTGCCACCATGACCTTTTCCTTCCCTTTGCTCTTCTGATTCTCTTCTGCTTTGTTGTTTCACTTGTGTTTCTACTTTTTCTAATACATTTTTTAATTCTCTTAATTTTATTTTTTTCTTTGTTATTTGTCTGCTCCCTTTTTCTTTGTTGCCTTTTATTTTCTATTTTTTCCCATCATGAAGCTTGTGGGGTCTTGGTTCCCAGGCCAGCTGTGAGGCCTGAGTTCCTGTGGCAGAAATGCTGAGTTCAAACCACTGGACTAACAGAGAACCTCAGACCCAAGGGAATATTAATCAGTGTCAGCTATTCTGGAGGTTCTCATCTCCTCACCAAGACTCAACTTCACCCAACTGCCTGCAAACTCCAATGCCAGATGCCTCAAGTAATACAACCAACCAGGCAGGANAAAGAGAAAAGAAGTGAGAAAAAGAGGAAAAAGAAACAAGGGGCGGGGGGGAGGGGATAAAAACAGGAGTCAAAAAAGAGAGCAATCAAGCCAATAAACCCATAAATGAAAATGAATAACAAAACTAGACTAGCAAGAACACAAAATCAAAAGCATAGCAAAAAATGCAACATAACTAAAGGGTACTACTTTGTCGACTTTGCCAAGAAAGGTCCATTTAGTCAAAGCTATGGGTTTTCCAGTAGTCATGTACGGATGTGAGAGTTGCACCATAAAGAACGCGTAGTGCCAAAGAATTGATGCTCTCGAACTGTGGTGCTGAAGACTCTTGGAAAGACTGATGCTGAAGCTAAAGCTCCAATACATTGGCCACCTGATGTGAAGAGCCAACCCACTGGAAAAGACCCTGATGCTGGGAAAGATTGAGGGCAGGAACAGAGGCGGGCATCAGAGAACGAGGTGGTTGGATGGCATCACTGACTCAATGGACATAACTTTGCGCTAACTCTGGGAGACAGTGAAGGAAAGGAAAGTCTGGTGTGCTGCAATGGGGTAACAAAGAGTCGAACATGACTTAGCAACTGAACAATAACAACAACTGTAAAAACAGGGAAATAAAATTAATTTATTTAAAAATAAGATAGCTTTTAAAAAGTAAAAAGTTATACAAAATAAAAATGGAATAATATAGAAAGAACACTAGAATAATATGAAAAAGAAAAAAATTATATAGAGTGGTAGAAAGAGGGATGTCCTCATGATTCCTGTGTTTTCCATCCCACACAGTGTGCTCCAGTCAATCTGCTTACTCAGAAAGTTCTCTAGTATTTCTAGGAAGGTCTCTGGACCTGTGTGGGCAGAGTAGGGTCAGCGCAGTCTCAGACCTGGCCTTACTCCAGTCTGTACTTGCTCCCAAAGGCCACAGTTGCCCCTAAAATCCACAGTCTCAGCCTAATTGTGAGGATTTAGTCTGCTCCACCTGAAGCTGCAGGAGCTAATTCCCTTTCTATTCTTCAGTCACATAGTCCCTGGTGTTCAGCTTTGGTTTTGGGGTAACCTTTGTTGGTAGACCACCCTCCAGTGTCTGTTTCCCACCTAGGCAAGATGGGGCAAAGACTAAGGCTTATTAGGGCCACTTTTTCAATTGGGCTGGGGAGAAGGCAGTATATGGCATCACTCATTGTGATATAACAATGAGTGTCTGCAGCAGTAGAACCTGCAGTATGTTGTTACAGTCTGAGACATCACACGTGCTCTCCCAGAGGAGTTGGCTTTGGGTCATGGGTCCCTAGGAAGAGCCAAGCTGCTCAAGCTCTGAACAAGGTGTGGGCGGTAACCTGTGCCTGCTCACCACCTGGCGGCAGATGTTACCTGGGGTTGGGACCCCAGCAGCAGTGTTTTGTCTGCTGTCAGGCACTTGCCCTAGCTTTGGCAGTAGCTAGTGGCTTGCTTCCTGCTTTGGGATCATAAACAGCAGTCATATCTAATGCCAGCAGCACTCCTACTGGTTTGGCCAGTTTTGGTGGCCACCGCTGGGCATACAGCCACTGTCTGTGACCGCATGGACTTAAGAATGGCCTGGGAAAAAAGATCTCTTTCCTCTCTGGGATGCCCAGTCTTTTCCCTCAACTCTCCCAACTGTGTGGTACTAGACCCCTCAGAGTACCCTTTCGGCAGCCAGTACCAGTCCTGTCTCTCGGGGCCAAAGCCTGGGCCTGAGCCTCAGCACCCCGGCCCCCCGCCCCTGCACACACAGGCACGCGAGCCGCTCTCTGGCCACTAAGTGCTGCTCAGCAACGATCTCTGGTGAGCTCTCTCCTCCCTGCCTTCTGAGCACACACTGCTGCACTTCCCTCCACCCTGTCCATGAGGGGCTTCGAAGTGCACAGAAGCCTTTCTTCCTTCACGACTCCCTTCCCAGAATGCAGGTCCCCACCCTGAAATTTCCTCTTTTTTTAATCTTTATCTTTTGCCCTACCTCATTCTAAGGAGATTGGCTTGCCTTTTTGGAAGTCTGGGTTCTCCCTCCAGCGTGCAGAAGGTGTTTGGAAGTAGCTATTCCATATGCAGATCAATTCTTGATGCATTTGTGAGGAGGGAGGTGATCACCCCATCTTACTCTTCTTCCATCTTGGAAGTCCTCCCCAAAATAGACTTTAAAATAAAGACTGTTTCAAGAGACAAAGAAGGTCACTGGGCAAATGAGCAAAACAAAAAAAGATTTAACAATTATATTTATGCACCCACCATAGGAGCACCCCAATAAATAAGGCAAATGCTAACAACAGTAAAAGGTGAAAACAAAATAGTACAGTATTTTAACACCTCAAAAAATACCTCAAATATACTAATGGACAGATCTTCAAGGCAGAAAATAAATAAGGAAATACAACCTTTAAATGACATAATACATCAGGGAGATTTAATGGATATCTATAGGACATCCCAGCTGAAAGTGACAGAATACAGTATCTTCTCAAGTGCACATGGAACATTCTCTAAGATAGATCACATCTTGGGTCACAAATCAAGCCTCAGTCAATTTAACAAAATCAAAATTTTATCAAGCATCTTTTCTGACCACAATACTATGAGATTAGAAAACAAATATAAGATTAAATATTTAATAAAAACATGCTAGCTAAACAATACATTACTAAATAACCAAGAGATCACCGAAGAAATCAAAGAGGAAATTTTAAAAATACATAGAAACAAATGACAATGAAAACATGATGACCCAAAACTTATGGGATGCAGTAAAAGCCCCTTCTGAAAGGGAAGTTCATTGCAATTCAACCTCACCTCAAGAAACAAGAAAAATCTCAAGTAAGTAATCTAACCTTACAACTAAAGCAACCACAGAAAGAACAATAAAACCTAAACTTAGTGGAAGAAAAGAAACCATAAAGATCAGAGAAGAAATCAATGAAACAAAAATGAGGAAAATGAGAGCAAGGATCGATAAAAGTAAAAGTTGGATTTTTAAGAAGATAAAATTGATAAACCATTAGCCAGATGCCTCAAGAAAAAAAAGCAGGGGGGGGGGGGGGGAGGGTTCAAATCAATAAAATTTGAATTGAAAAAGGAAAAATTACAACTGACACTGCAGAAATACAAAGGATCCTAAGAAAATATTACAAGCAACTATATGCAAACAAGATGGATAAGCCAGAAGAAATGGACAAATTCATACTAAGGTACAACATTCCAAGACTGAACCAGGAATAAATATAAATTTAAACAGACCAATCATACGTAATTAAACTGAAACTATAATTATAATCTTCCAACAAATCAAGGTCTAGGACCAGATGGCTTCACAAGCAAATTCTACCAAACCTTTAGAGAAGAGCTAATGCCTTTCTCAAACTCTTCCCAAAAATTGCATGGGGAAGAACACTCCCAAACTTATTCTATGATGGCACAATCATGCTGATCTCAAAACCAGACAAAGACAGCACACACAAATAAATAAAATAATAAGTCAATATTACTGATGAACACAGACACAAAAATCCTCAACAAAATACTAGTGAAGAGAATCCAACAACATATTAAAAGGATCATACACCATGATCACATGGGATTTTTCCTAGGGATGCAAGATTCTTCAACATTTACACAATTCAGTCAGTGTGCTACACCATATTAACAAAAAATAAAAGCCATCTGATAATCTCAATAAATGCAGAAAAAGCTTTTGACAACATTCAAAACTCATTTATGAGGAAAACTCTCCAGAAAGTGGGCATAGAGGGAACCTACCTAAACATAATAAAGGTCATTAAAACAAACCCACAGCAAATATCATTCTCGAGAGTAAAAAACTGAAATCATTTTGTCTAAGACCAGGAACAAGACAACAATGTCCACTCTCACCACTACTATTCAATGTAATTTTGAAAGTCCAGGCCAAGGCAATCAGAGAAGGAAAACAAAATTTTTAAATCTAAATTGGAAAAGAAGTAGTAAAACTGTCACTGTTTGCAGATGACATGATACTATACATAGAACATCCTAAAGATGCCACCAGAAAACTACTAGAGATCATCAGTGAATTTGGTAAAACTGCAGGATACAAGATCAATGCACATAAATCTCTTGTAGTCCTATAACCTAGCAGCAAAAGATCAGTAAGAAAAATTAAGAAAACAGCCCTATTTACCATTTCAAGAAAAAGAATAAAATACACAAGAATAAACCTACCTAAGTACACCAAAAACCTGTGTGAAGAAAACTATGAGACACTGATGAAAGAAATCAATGATGACACAAATGGAGAGACATACATATCATGTTCTTGGATCAGAATAATCAATATTGTGAAAATGACTATACTACCTAAAGCAATCTATAGAGTCAATGTAATCTCTATCAAACTACTAATGGCATTTTTCACAGAATTAGAACAAAAATTTTAGTTTATAAGGAAGCACAAAAGACCCTGAATAGACAAAACAATTTTGAGGAAGAAAAGTGGAGCTGGAGGAATCAGGCTCCCCAATTTCAGACTACACTACAAAGCGACAGTCATCAAGACAGTACAGTATTGGCACAAAAACAGAAATATGGATCAATGGCACAGGACAGAAAGCCCAGAGATAAAGCCACAGACTTATGGTCACCTAATCCATGACTAAAGAGGCAAGAATGCACAATGGAGAAAAGACAGTCTCTTCAATAACTGGTGCCGGAAGCAAAGGAAACTATAAACAAGGTGAAAAGACATCCCTCAGAATGAGAGAAAATAACAGCTAATGAAACAACAGACAGAGCATTAATCTTCAAAATATACAAGCAGCTCATTCAACTCAATACCAGAAAAACAAGCAACCCAATCAAAAAGTTTAGGACAGAAGACCTAAATAGACATTTCTCCAAAAAAGATATACACATGGCTAATAAACACATGAAAAGCTCATTATTAGAGAAATGCAAATCAAAACTACCATGAGATATCACCTCACACCAGTAAGACTGTCCATCATCAAAAAATCTACAAACTAACTGCTGGAGAGGGTGTGGGGAAAAGAGAAGTGTACTGCACTGTTGGTGGGAATGCAAATTGATACAGCCACTATGGAGAATTCATGGAGATTTCTTTAAAAACTAGGAATAAAACTATCATATGACCCAACAATCCCACTATCTGTCATATACCCTGAGGAAACCATAATTGAAAAAGACCCATGTACCACCAATGTTCATCACAGCACTATTTACACTAGCCAGGATATGGAAGTAACCTAGATGTCCAACCTAGAAAGAAGAATGGATAAAGAAGTTATGGTACATACACACAATGTTACTTGGACATAAAAAGGAATACATTTCACTCAGCTCTTATGAGGTGGATGAACCTAGAGCCTATTATATAAAGTCATAAAGAGAAAGATAAGCATTGTATATGAATGCACATACATGAAATCTAAAAAGATGGTACTGATGAACCTACCTGCAGGGCAGCAACAGAGGCACAGACACAGAGAATAGACTTGTGGACATGGGGGGAAGGTGCGGAGGGTAGGAATTCAGACAGTAGCATTAAGACAAACATCACTGTATGTAAAATCAGAGAGCCAGTGGAAATCTGCTGGATCAATCAGGGAGCTCAACTCCAGGGCTCTGTGACAACTTAGAGGGGTGGGATGGGTGGGAGAAGAGAAGGAGTTTCAAGAGGAAGGGGATACGTAGGTACACCTACGGCTGATTCACGTTGATGCTTGGCAGATACCAACACAATACTGCAGAGCAATTATCTTTCAATTAAAAATAAATAAAAGGCAAAAAATTAGATTTTTTAAAAAGTGGTGCTGGGAAAACTGGAGAAGTACATGTAAAAGAATGAAACTAGAACACTCCCTAATGCACAAAAAATAAACTCAAAAACGATTAGAGACTATAAAAACTCTTAGATGAAAACACAGGTAAAACACTCTTTGATATAAATTACATCAAGATTTTTTTTGACCCACCTCTTAGCACAATTAAAATAAAAATAAACTGATGGGATCTAATTGAAAGCTTCTACACAGCAAAGTATAAGCAAGATGAAAAGACAACTCTCATAATGGGAGAAAATACTTGCAAATGAAGAAATTCACAAGGGATTGATCTCCAAAATATACAAACAACTCATGCAACTCAATATCAAAACAAAAAACCCAAGGAAAAAAATATGCAGAAGATCTAAAAAGATATTTCACTGAACAAGACATTCAGATGGCTAACAGGCCCATGAAAAGATGCTCAACATCACTAATTACTACAGAAATTCAAATCAAAACTACAATGACGCCCAGCATTGTATTTCCTGATAACCCCTTTAGATTGGAAGGGTCAAATAAACCTTCAGGAATCTTTAACCGTTCTGCTCCAAAATCACAGTTGTAGTCATTGGGGAATTCATAATGAACAGTTGGCATCTGTGCAGCTACTTGTTCATCGTAAGTTGAATCTGATACTTGAAGTACTGAGGCTTGAAAATCCTGGATAACACAGTTACACATGTAATTGTGCCAAGACCTTGTAACCTGGGGCAGCTTCTCTTTCCTTTTCCAGTTTGCTGGAGACCCTTCAAGAACAGTTTCTTTTGATGCAATCATATATGGAGGAATCAGTTCTATATTCATTTCTTGGAAGAGTTCCCTGCACTGCATAGTGATAAAGTCTCCAGCAAGAGGGGACTTCACAATGCCTTGCTGAAGAACATAGCCATCATGAACAGGAATTGCAGTGGTGTGAGTGGCTCCACTGTCCAAAATAAGCCCGGTAGAACGACCATTAGCAAATGCTGTCAAAACGGCAGTTTTGCAAAGGAAGAACGCAGGAATGTTGTAGTGTTCAAACATCAGCTCTGTCAGCTTCTCTCTCTTTGCTCTGGTATTCCACGGTGCTTCTGACATGAGAACAGGATGCAGGCTGGCTTCTGATTTGACATGCATTTTGTAGGTATGATCCAAAATAGCCAGTCATGTTGTCACTACAAGTGTTGGAATGTGCGATATTGATATCAGACCAGGTCTCTATGGCAGTGTGATAGTGGCAGGAGGAAACACGCTAATACAGAGCTTTACCGACAGGTTGAACAGAGAACTCTCTCAGAAAACACCCCCAAGTATGCGGTTGAAACTGATTGCAAATAATACGACAGTGGAACGGAGGTTTAGTTCATGGATCGGTGGCTCCATTCTAGCTTCTTTGGGCACCTTTCAGCAGATGTGGATTTCCAAACAAGAATATGAAGAAGGAGGGAAGCAGTGTGTAGAAAGGAAATGCCCTTGATAAGTTCCCAAACCTCTACCTTCTATGTCACCTTATGTTTCATAGCTTTAGTATACTCAGGAAAAGAACAACCATCTTTTGTAGAATGTTTATACATTTTTGCATATTTCAATTCCACTTAAATTTTTTAAGGCTTTAACTGGTTCTATAAATTAAAATAAGTTTGTGCTTTCCTTGAAATGCACTTATTCTTATTACAAGCATTTTATAATTTTGTATAAATGTCTATTTTCTCTAAATATTTTGCTTTCAGTAAAATGCTTTACAACTCTGTTTAGTATATTACCAGTGGATTGGTAGAATTGCTTTTTATTGACTAGTAAAACTTACTGCCTATGCTTTTTACATTAGGCTTTTAAAATTAAATAAAAATTACTAGCCATTCCAAAAAAAAAAAAAATACAATGAGATATCACCGCACACTGATTAGAGTGGCCATCATCAAAAAATCTACATACAAGAAAAAAAATCTACATACAGAAAATGCTGGAGAGAGTGTGGAAAAAATGGAATCCTCTTGCACTGTTGGTTGGAATGTAAACTAATACAGCCACTATGGAGTACAGAATGGAAGCTCCTTAAAAAACTAAAAAACTAGAACTATTATATTACCTAGCAATCCCACTACTGGGCATATACCCTGAGAAAACCATAATGCAAAAAGAAACATGTACCCCAGTAGTCACTGCAGCACTATTTACAATAGCCAGAACATGGAAGCAACATAAATGTCCATTGACAGATGAATGGATAAAGAAGTTGTGGTCCATATATACAATGGAATATTATTCAACCATAAAATAAAATGAAATCAGACCCTTTGTAGAGATGCTGATGGACTAGAGCCTGTCATACAAAGTAAAATAAGTCAGAAAGAGAAAAACAAACATCTTATATTAATGTGGACTGTAGAAAAGTGATATAGATAAACCTATTTGCAGGGCAGGACTAGCAACAGATATAGGGGCCGGACATGTAGAACAAAGGCGGGGTGGGGAGGGTGAATGAATTGGGAGATTAGGACAACATATATACACCATGTTTGTGAAATAGCTAGTGAGAACCTGGAGCTGGTTCAGCTCAGTGTCCATGATGATACAGATGGGTGGGATGGGTGGGATGGGTGGGCGACAGAGGTCTAAGGGCAAGGGGGTGTATGCATACATATAGCTGATTCACTTTGTTGTACAAAAGAAACTAACAGAACACTGTAAACCAATTATACTCCAATTAAAATATAAAATAAATTATAGGACATCAACTATTTTTTTCAAGTCATTAGAAGCAATTTGAAAATTTCCAGTTTCACTAGTCAATTAGCAAAGAAAAAAGAGATAAAATCTGTATTCTCTAAAGACTGCTTCCATTTTATCCTTGTGTTGCTAGTCAGACCATAAAGGTAATAATAATTTTAATAGCAACACAAATTTATTTAATAGTTCCAATGTCAAGTACTGAGTTTTATATATATCAACATTTAATTTAATCCTCAAATATGAAGACAAAGACCTTGTTTTTTTCACATCTGTATCCTCAGGACCAGCATAGACACAAGATGATGAATGATAAATATTTGTCAAAGAATGGACATGTAAAACGGAGAGTTGAAACAATATATGTATTAATAGTATTTAAAACTGCCATCTTCAGACAACTCAGGTTTTGTAAGTGTATAAAATAATAAAACAACAGAGTTGAGAGCACCTCAAAAAAGACTTCATTTTATACATGTATTCACTGGTTGACCTTGACAAGTGACTTAATCTCTTTCTGAATCATAAATTTTATTATCATATGAGTGATGATAATAACTTCCTTGAAAATGGACAGAGTTCCTAGCACTGTGCCAGCTATCAACATATGAGGGATGCTGTTATCCTATCTGATACCATTTTGTATCAAAATGGTACAAAAATTTTGAAATATTACCTTTGAATTAGGAACTTAAATATCAAGACTATTTTATTGCCATGTAAGTGTTTATGTATATATATATCACAGGGGGACAGGGGGATTTTCAATCATTATTAATAAAACTACAACCTGTGGCAACACAAGAAAGAATTCAAATTAACTTTAGAAAAACACATTCCTGGATTTTACAGAAAATTGTTAAGAGTAAAAATTACCATCTTTGAACTATGATGTAAGCATGACCAAGTTATGAAGACCACAAGGACTCTCGCAGCATTTTACCTGAAAGGCGCAACATGCTTTTTCTGTTGTATTTTTTCCTTAGCACTAATCATGACCTCACATTCCTACTTGTTCTGCTGTTTGTTTCTCGCATCTCTTCTGACTACAGCATAAGCTCCATGAAGGCAGGTATTTTCATCTGCTTTTAATTGCTAAGTTACCTGAGACACAGACGGTACTCAACACTTAAGTGTGGCTTTGAATAAATGAAAGCAGAAAAATGAGGCTCAGTGAGATTAAATACCTATGTTTAGTTGGTGAATAGCTGAACAGGTTGAAGTACCCAGGACTTCCAGGTACTCATCCAGGGCTCTTTTCAGCTCTCAAAGCGCTCTCTTTTCTGAAAGTTGTGTCTTCTCTGTTAGCAACTGGCAGAATGAGCAGTATTTCTGAAATGTGTAAATAATCTCTATCCATCATTTGCAGTTTCTAGCACATTTTATTTGAGGTGCTTCTAGAATGGGCTTCCCTGGTGGCTCAGAAGGTTCATTCACCTGCAACATGGGAGACTTGGGTTCAATCCCCAGGTTGAGAAGATCCCCTGGAGAAGAACTGTGTAAATAATCTCTATCCCTCATTTGAGGGTTTCTAGCATATTTTATTTGAGATGCTTCTAGAACTCCCATTATAAAGGGGAAATACATTTTTTTTCCAAAATTCCACAACATTGGAGATTGTATATGAAAAATATTGGCTAATTCATAACAGTCAAACAATAATGCCATGAGCCTGCATCTGTTTGTAAAGCCCAATTTCTAATCAGCTGAATTCTTCTTTAAAAGTAAGATGTGATTTCTTCTTTAAAAGTTAAGAACTGAGCTGAGCCAGCACCCTGTCAAAGGAAACTGAGCTGGGAAGTCAAATTCTGAGTCTCTTCTAATAGTCAAAGGACGAGGAGGAAAGTAACGAGTGAGCCACGGGAAGACAAACCAATAATCAGACTCATCACGTTTTTTTTACCTGCAGAAGTATATTTTGCAGCCTATACTTTTTTACTAAACAACTATTAACCAAACAGGAGATAAGAATACACATGTTTTCAAAGATGCAAGAGTTCAAAAAATTAAATTACCACATGCCTAGTCTAGGGTGGGGCTTCCCAGGTAGTGCTAGTGGTAAAGATCCTGCCTGTCAACACAGGAGACAAGAGATGCAGGTTCCATCCCTGGGTTGGGCCAAGATGTCCTGGAGGAGAGCATGGCCACCCACTCGTTTTCTTGCCTGGAGAATCCCATGGACAGAGGAGCCTTGCAGGCTACAGTCCAAGGGGTCACAAAGAGTCAGACATGAGACTTAGCATACATGCAGACCAGGATGATGCCTGGAGAGTTATTTCTAGCAAATAAGTGAGTAAACCAAAGAAAAAGAAGAAAATATGGTTATAGGAAACACTGGTTCCAATTCAGAAGAACTGCATAAGGATATTCGAGCTGACAGTATCCACCTAACCTAGATTAGCTTAAACTGGGGCAGGAGGATGGAGGCTCCTGGAAGGAAGTCACTCAAGGAAAAAGCACATTTGATAGGATATGTAATATGACCAAGTTTAAAATAAAATGAGGCCATGACAAAGGAAAAAGGCACAAGAACATGTGAAAGACAATTAGGAACTCCAAGGTTACAAAATGGTATATAAGGAACAAAATATAACCATAGTACTTTGATTGGCTCCATGTAAATTTCCTAAAGGAAATCAATCCTGAATATTCATTGGAAGGACTGATGCTGAAGCTGAGGCTCCAATACTCTGGCCACCTGATGCGAAGAGCTGACTCATTAGAAAAGACCCTGATGCTCGGAAAGATTGAAGGTGGGAGGAGAAGGGGACAACAGAGGATGAGATGGTTGGAGGTATCACTGACTCAATGGACATGAGTTTGAGCAAATTCCAGGAGATAGTGAAGGACAGGGAAGCCTGGCATGCAGCAGTCCATGGGGTCACAGGGAGTCCAACACAACTGAGCCACTGAACAAAATGATATTTACTTATTAACAATATACATTTTAGAATTTTAGAATTCAGTGAGACAAAGATTTAATCATGGTTATAACTGGGCACACTGTAAACACTATACACCTCATAAAAGTAAGAAGCCTATAATTTGTGAAGAGGAAGAGAAAATGTGAGCTGAAAGTAGATTACAGATGCTAACATTGTCATCTTACCAAGTGGAGAGTAAAGACTGTAGCTGATGAAAAATAAACAAAGGTTGGGCGATCAGGATTGACACATGCACACCACTATATATAAAACAGATAACCAGTAAGGATCTACTGTATAGCACAAGGAACTCTACTCAATACTCTGTACATGACCTATATGGGAAAAGAATCTAAAAAAGAATGGATATATGTATATGGATTACTGATTCACTTTGCTGTCCAGCAGAACATAACACAGCGTTATAAATCAACTATACTCCAGCAAAAATTAATTAAAAAAGAAACAAAGGTACAACAATATTAAATTTCAAAGATAACTATGGAGAAACTCAACATATTAATAAAATTATATTTGGAAGATGACAAATGTTGATATTTAAAATGGACATATCAAGAAAAGAACTAAAAGCAGTTATATATGGAGGTCAAAATTGTGATTTCTTAAGAACAAATGCACTGTTACTCTAAGGGGGAAAAAAAAATCACACAGAGGTGGAGAATTGGCTCACTCAAATTCCAGATTCTTCTGCATAAAACTCCTCTGTCACATTAGAAAAGTCCAAATCTTTATTGTTGTTCTGTAACTCAAAGGTATTTTGGGAAGTTATTAAAGGGGGAGTTTTGGAGTATTCCCCTATTTCTTGGAAAGACATGTGCACAGATTACAAACTCAAATAATTTGGTAAACCTAAGAAATGAAGTAGGTGAAGGTAAGAAAATAAGAGTTGTTTTTAGTAACTCTCAACTCAAAACTAATGAACTATAATGAATTACTATTACTTAGCTGGCTATAGATTCTTTCAGTGCTGATGACAGTTTAGAAATGAACAAAAAGAAAACTACAAAGTTAATATCCCTTGCCTTCTCCCAACTTCAAGATTTTTAGCAGCTGGAGTTTCACAGAAATATCATTCATCAGAAATACTTAACACAAGCATCTGGGATTCATTCTGTTGCTCTTTACAAAGGATGCTCTTTATTTAAAATGCTAAGTTTCTTTTAAAGACTACTTCATAAGAAATCCATGTTCTGTCCTTCCCATTTCCTGCCAACACTCCATTTCAAACTGTAGCCTGCTCTAGCAAATTGAAAAGAATTCCCTTCTTACATCAGAAACATCTCTTCATTCCATACGCAACAGCTTCAGGATAGTCCCCAGGGATCTTCAAACCCACTCTGAGATGGAGCCCCAAGGTAGACAAGTAGATCCAGGCTCCCAAGCCCTCTCCAAATGACAGCCCCCAGAAAAATGAGTGTTGCAGAGATCTAACACTCTGATTCCAAGTGTGGACCACAGAGCGTATGAATAAACTGAAACATCTCCCCCTACCATATGTCATTCACCAAAGGAGAAAGCCTTCTGATGCCTTTCCAGCAACCATCCACATTAATTCTCCAGGGAGCCGTCTCCAGTGACTGAAGCCTTCTTCTCTTAACTCTTTTTTCTCTTCCTATCTTCCATCCTTAGTTGAAAAAGATAATGCTGTTTCTCACCTTGGTCAAGTTGCTTATCTCTGGGCACATTTTGGAAATTTGGTTATTCTGAAGGTACAGTGTTTTCAGGCCAGGCAGTTTTTCTAATGCTGAGGGCATCTTTGTTATGTTCTTTCCAATTAAGCTAACGACTTTAGTGTTTTTACCACCCTTCAGTGCTCTTATTAACAACCTTTCAGCCATGGGTATGGAAGAGAAACAGGTTCCTTACTACCCATCTTTGGAATCTCTAATTGCAGAATTGGTGTGTCATGGAAACAAAAACATTCTTAGATCTATCATGCTGAAGGTGGGAGCATTGGCTAATTTCCTGTCTAAAAGGTAGGGAAGGAAAATAACTGATTCCAGGTTTGGGGCAGGAAATGTACAAGATGAGCCTAGAATATCTTATACCAGAAACAGGAAGTTACCAAGGACTAATGAGATCACATCAAAAGAACATACAAGCCACTTCTAAGGGCTTCCATTAGTCTAAAATGGGAAAATTTGAGAATCAGAAAGAATGATGAATGGACCAAAATAAATTAAAATCTAGAGCTCATGGTATCATAAAAATAAAAGAAAGCCACTGATTACATTGGAACTTGCTGGGGAACCAACTCTTAAGACTGAAAAATAATAAATGGAAAAAAATGAAGCACTTATTCTGCTTTTCCAGTACAAATCATATTTTTGTGTAACCTAATAAAGTTCTTATTCATAGAAAAATTGAAGCCAATAAATGAGGAAGAAAAAATAGATTTAGAAAATCACCATTTTTGAAAACCTAATGAAATAATGGATATAAATATACAGATCATAATTTGATGCTAAATGCATTAGGTGAGAGGTTGACAGGGAACTTTTCAAGTATGAAATCAGGTTAATTACCTACTAATCAATTTTACCATCGCTAAAATTGAGACAATCATATATTGTTTTCAGGTCTATCATGATGTCATACAATAAAAATTACACAGTACCAATATTAAATATTCTTGAATCTGAGTTTAATCAGGCTTCTGTATCTAAATACCATTTACAGAAAATATAAGGAATAGAAAAAAGGCTAAATTAATCTCAGGGAAGCAGTCAGCCAAATCTCGAAACTGGGAAATTCTATAAGGCAAATGATATACAATATTTAACCAACAAGTTATGTCATTAATAAAAAGATGGGGAAACTGTTATAAAAAAACGAGACTTAAGAAAAACAACAGTCAAATGCAATCTGTGAATCTTATTTGGATCCTGATTTGAATGAAAATATTTCAGAGTCAACTGAGGAAATTTGATCGTGGACAATGTATCAGGAATTACTAATTTTGTTATGTATAACAATGACATGATGGTACTATTTTCTTAAAATGTACCTAACATTTAGAAATGCATCTGGATTTTCAGGTGATTTTTTTTTAATAAGTGGGGCAGAAAAGTCAGCGGAAAAAATAGATCAAATAAGATTGACCAAACATTGGTAATTATTGATGATCAGTAATGGGCAATAGGGGTTCATTATATTATTCTTACTATTTTTTGTATAATCTTTGAAAATTTCCAAATGAGTGATTAAGACAAAGGCAAAAGAGTAAGGGAAAAGAGATGAGGGCAGAGATATTTGATGAGAGCCCCACTTGGGCCAGTTATGAGGCTTGGAGGCATTTGGGCTACATATATGTATCACATCTGGAGGGCTCATTTCCAAAAACATGAACACTATAAAATGCATTCTGCATTCAAAGTACTTAGGACACAGTGCCATCTTCCTCTATAATTCCCCTTATTCATTCAACAAACATTTAGGAGTACCTACTATGTGCAACACTGTTCCACTGGGGATAGAGAGTGAATTAAAATGACAAAAATCTCTCAATGAAATTACATTCTATAAGGAGGAGAAAAAACAAGCAAATAAGTACACCTAGCGTGTTAGATGGCATTAGATATTAAGGAAAAAAATAATAAAACAGGTAAGGAGTTTGCAATTTTAGGGTAACCTGAGAAGGTTTCACTGCAGGGGTGCTATCAGAGACAGGAGCTTTTCCAAATAAGATGATGAAGCAAGTGCCAAAGTCCCAAAGAAGAATCATTAAATTTATACAGGGTATTATAATGAACATCAGTATCATCCTAACAATAAAATAAAAGGTGCTGATTAATAGAGTTCCAATTGCTAGAAAGATCATTTTTTAGGTACTTAATCACTGCTCTTATTGAAATATCTCTTCCAAACCTTCCAAACCTATTTTCCAGTGTCTTTATTTTGATACTATTTTAGTTTCCTAAGAACAATCATGATGTTACTATCTGAACAAACTAATTATAAAGCTTTGTTTAAAAAAAAGAAGTCTCATAGATACTCATCTCCTCTATAAAGTAATGCTGTATGGCTAGGACCCCAGCTGACACTGTCTAAATGGGTAATTTTTGTCCTGCTTTAAATGGGTAAACAGGCCAATACAATCTAGTACTGCTTTTTTTTATTATTATTATTAAATTTTCCTAACCTAGAAAATCTGGTAAACATTTTTAATTTCTCCTTCTCTTATTTCCAATTAATCAGTTCTATTAATACTGCCTGTTTCAGTTATCTATTGCTGAGTAACAATACCATGAAACTTAATGGCTTAAAACATTTTATTCAAAAACTTACCATCTAGGCAGGACTCATTTACCCTCGCATCCTTCCCATCTACCCCAGCCCTGCGCAGGCATGCTCAGTCATTTCAGTCATGTCTTACTGACTCTCTGCGACCCTATAGACTGTAGCCCACCAGGCTCCTTTGTCCATGGGATTCTCCAGGCAAGAATGCTGGAGTGGGTGCCATGCCCTCCTCCAGGGGATCTTCCTGACCCAGGGGTTGAACCTGGGTCTCCTGCGTTGCAGGCAGATTCTTTACCACTGAGCCACCAGGAAGACCCACCCCAGCCCTAGGTAACCACTAATCTCCTTTCTATATGTTTGCCTAGTCCAAACATTTTATACAGATGAGAACATATGTGTCTTTCACTCAACATAATGCTTTCAAGGTTCATCCAGAGTTATAGCATGTATCAGTACCTCAGTCCTTTTTATTGAATAAAAATACTCCATCCTATAGCTATACTATATTTTATTTATCCACTTATCAGTTGATGGACATTTAGATTGTTTCTACTTTTTGGCTACTACAAATAGTGCCATGTACAATTTTCTTGGGCGTATACCTAGGAGAGGTCATATGGTACCCTTTTAGGAACTGCCAGATTGTTTCCCAAAGTGGCTTCATCAGTTTATGTTCCTACCAGCAATGTATAAGAACTCTTTTCATTTTGTACTCACTTTTGACCCAAATTGATAGTCAATCCCTTTAAAAAATTTTGTTAAGTTTGCCTTGAAACAGTTCATAATTCACTCTTTCAGACAAAAGCCACACCCCAAATCTCTTTGTAATAGCCTTTCTCTATTATAGGTTCCCAAGCGAAACTACTGTGGGACAGTAGCTTTAAGAATTTTAGAAGCTCTCTAGTCTGCTGATTAGGAAATGTCTTTCATTTTCCTGAGGTCCTAACAAAGGGTTTTACTCCCTTGGCTTCATCTTTGGAGTTCATTTTCCTGACAGTTCCCTGATTTGCTCTCTATCTGAAAGTGAAAGTCTTAGCTGCTCAATCGTATATGGCTCTTGGTGACCCCATGGACTGTAGCCCACCAGGCTCCTCTATCCATGGAATTCTCTAGGCAAGAATACTGGAGCAGGTTGCCATGCCCTTCTCCAGATCTTCCCAACCCAGGGATCAAACCCAGGTCTCTTGCATTGCAGGCGGATTCTATCTGAAACTCACTCCTTAATTTTACCATCATTTACTGTCTGGCTGGCTGAAGCACAAGCTGGAATCCAGATTTCGGGGAGAAATATCAATAACCTCAGATATGCAGATGACACCACCCTTATGGCAGAAAGTAAAGAAAAACCAAAGAGCCTCTTGATGAAAGTGAAAGAGGAGAGTGAAAAAGTTGGCTTAAAACTCAACATTCAAAATACTAAGATCATGGCATCCAGTCCCATCACTTCATGGCAAATAGATGGAGAAACAATGGAAACAGTAACAGAGTATTTTTTAGGCTCCAAAATCACTGCACATGGTGACTGCAGCCATGGAATTAAAAGACGCTCACTCCTTGGAAGAAAAGCTATGACCAACCTAGACGCATATTAAAAAGCAGAGACATTACTTTGCCAACAAAGGTCCATCTAGTCAAACCCATGATTTTTCCAGTAGTCATGTATGGATGTGAGAGTTGAACTATAAAGAAAGCTGAGCACCAAAGAATTGATGCTTCTGAACTATGGTGTTGGAGAAGAATCTTGACAGTCCCTTGGACTGCAAGATCAAACCAGTTAATTCTAAAGCAAATCGGTCCTGAATAGTCACTGGAAGGACTGATGCTAAAGCTGAAAACTCCAAACCTTTGGCCACCTGATGCAAAAAACTGACTCAATTGAAGACTCTGATGCTGGGAAAGGTTGAAGGCAGAAGGGGACAACCAAGGATGAGATGGTTGGATGGCATTACCGACTCAATGGACATGAGTCTGAGCAAGCTCTAGAGTTGGTGATGGACAGGGAAGCTTGGTGTGCTGCATGCAGTCCACGGGGCTGCAAAGAGTCAGACATGACTGAGCAACTGAACTGAACTGAACTGTCTGGACTGGCTAAGAATGAGCAAGTTTTGCTTTGCTTTTCAAACCCCAAAGTTTGCAGCTCATTTTTTTCCTCTTGCTTGTCTTTCTCCTCCATCATTTACTATGGACAGCTAGAAGAACCCAGACAGCACCCTCAATACTCTCTAGAAATCTCCTCAGGGAGATCACTCAGCTGATGAGATACACTTATTTTCCATGTTAATGCTTACTAGCATCACTGTTAAACTTTCTTCTCCTATGTAACAGGAGTTACTTTTCTTCCAAATTCTAATAACATTTTCCTCATATTCCTTACCAACATTAGGCTCCTGCTAACAATCTCTTCAAGGCCTTTTTAACTTACACCTTACACCTGAAGCCCAGTCCCAAAGCTCATTACATGGTTTAAGCATTTTGTTATAGTACCAAATTCTTTTCAGGGCTCAATCAGAGAAAAAGACCAACTAGGAACCATATAGTTTGACCTTAGGTAATTACAGAAGCTGGGGAAGCCATCTGTGTAGGTCTGTTCCATCTGTGTCTGGTGCTGTGCCTACCCCAGAATTCGGAGATGCTCAAGCAACAGATCCACCAGAAGTGGGAGAAGCTACAGGCTTCATGAAAAAAGTGACCTATCTTGTTCATTACTATGTCCCAAGTGCCTCAGTGCTACATGGTGTCAGCACCTCTCTAAGTCCCAAGAGTAGTGCTTGCACACTTGAGAGTTAACAAAAGCTGAAGATTTCTATTTAAACATCTATATGAAACTGCACAATAGAAAAAATTACTTTTACTGAGCATTTATTACATATCAAGCAGTGTGCTACTTCTTTATGTAAGTGAACTGACTTAGTCCTTATAGAAGGCAGGGCTTGGTATTTTTTTTTTAAATCAGGAGCAAGACTAAGTCATTCCTGTTAAAAAAATTAATAAATTCAGCAGCCTGTGTAAAAGCAATAGTTTGCTTCAGTAAGCCGTATTAGTCACCCAAGTATACTGAAAGACAATCGTACACTTCTTCCTGGTCAGTATATTAGCAAAGTTTTTTTTGTTTGTTTTGGGTCTGTATATTTATTTTCAGCAACCCCTGGGTCAGGATGATCCCTTGCAAGAGGAAATGGCAACCCACTCTAGTATTCTTGCCTAGAAAATTCCATGAAAGGAGGGGCCTGGAGGGCTACAGTCCATGGGTCGTAAAAAGTCAGACACAACTGAGCAGACATACATACCCACACTTACTTCAGAAGTCATTATTTTTCAGGTTTGTTAAAATCAGATTGTCCTAATCGACACATGAAGGTAAATTAACTGTAACACACCATCAGAAGTTTTAAAAAAAGAAAATTCTTGGGTTCCATTCTTCAACGAACCAGAAGACTTAAGAATTCACCAAGGGTAATATAAATCAAAAGACAACCATTCTGTGAGCAAGAAGGATTCTAAGTCACTATCTCATTTATTCTTAACAGTCTATTAGCCTAATGAAACTCCTAAAAGTCATATCCCATCCACTTAATTGATCTTATAATTATTAACAAACCTTAAAGCACTTTATAATATACAGGCCTAGCAATGTGGCTGAAGTGACTTAGCAGCAGCAGCAGCAATGTGATAGACATTTTAATAGTGAGGTCCTTGCTTCTAAGCACTTAAAAGACTAAGGGGAAATAATAACAATAATAATAAACAACTAAATGTAAATAACTATTATAAGTGTAGAGCTAGTAGAAAGTAACATGTATGAGCCGGGGTGCCTAACCTAGCCCCGATGGGAGAAGCCTGGGGAGCTTACCTAGGTCGGAGCTACTGAAGCTGAGACCAAGAGGACAATAAACTAGGTGAAGCAAGCTGGACCCAACTTCAGTGTTAGTTCAAAGGCCTTGTGGGAAGGAACAAGGTGGGGTAACATAAAGGACTGCTGCTTCTGAAACTTACGTTAAAGAAAGAATTAGAAATCCTGTGAGTTCTACTTTTCCACAAGATGGAAAAAGATATATTTCAAGTAAGACAGAAAAATCAATGTATGTAAATACACAAGACAGGAAGAAAAAGCTCATTTGTTCAGTAAAAGTAAAAACAGTATGGAATTACAAATTAAATTTCAAAAAAACCCCTGACCTATTGCCTCAGCTAGTTCCTAACAACTTCTTCCAAGACAATGTATTAACAAGTGTGTGCCAGCAGTAACTTGTACAGATTTCTTTCTTACTGCTTCATTTTCTTACTCATGTGTATTCATTTTTCTTTAACATCCAAGAGTTTTGGATAGTCTTCTAATTTGCCCTTCATTATTTTAAAACAACAAAATAATATATAAATATTAGAATCTCTATTATTTTCAATTATACATGAGGACAAAATAAAAACTAAATAAAATTCTAAAAAAGTTTTCTCTAGTTCTATATTCTAAAAGTATTAAAGAATAACAATTTGAACAATGCTGATTTAATTCATCTTTTATTTTTTCTTTTAGCAAACATTAGATAATATGAACAAAACTGTACTGTTCACTATAGTTACACATCCTTATTTGCTTTATATGTTATAAACATACTTAAGCAGATAAAATTCACTGAAGTAAATTAGACATATTCCATAACTCTGACATGTACTTTTCTAAGTCAGGACAAAAGAAAGCTTATCAGATTTCCCTAAGAGATCAGCATCATACAGCAAACTAAACTTGTATATGCTGCTTTTAACTTAACATGTGCCATTTTTCAGACTTTAATTTTAGGTTACAGCTAAAACAATTTTTATCTCAAGTTTTATGAAGGAACAGAAGCTGCAACGTACAAATCCTGTCCATAACCATTTAAAAATAAAAAATATACCTATAATCAAGAAAATTCTATTTACTCTGCTAGAAAAAAATAGCCAATAAGTTATTTTACAATACTTTAAATATAGTGGGAATTTACAATAACTAGATTTCACTGCATCTTATTTTATTGCTTAATGCTTCTCTTTTAATTTTAAAGTAACAGATTACCCACCACATCCCCCTTGCACAAAAAATCCAGATCCAGCATTACAAAACAAGCGGCCTTCAGAATTGATCAGCAGGCAGAATGGTTCTTAATCTGCAAGTGTTAATGCCTTCATGCACTACTTATCTGCTCAATAGTTCCCCACACTGTTGCCTGCTGAATACATAATACTGATACCCTGTTTTTTATGTTATAAAACCCAGTTGTTACTTAGGTATTCCGTCGAGTCCAACTCTGTGACACCACAGACTATACGGCCCACCAGGCTCCTCTGTCCATGGAATTTTTCAGGCAANAACATAAAAATTCCCAGATATTTGAAACAAATATTTTCAAATATTTGAGGAAAGATGAAATTAATAAGGCTAATAAAATAATAAGTAACAAAGACGTTCCCTGTAATTAGCCGCCAACTAATAAAATAAATGAAAAAGAGGGAAGGAATAAAAAAAAAAAAGACTTTCCCTAATCCTAGAGAATGAAGCAAAAAGAGAAACCTTGTAAGACAAATTGGAAAAGAAGAAAAATTCGAAGTAAATTTGGCCTTGGACCCTCTTACATTGCTACTCCTTCAATTTGCACAAGTTAAAGAATAACAGAAGCTAATAACTATTTCTCAGCGGAAAAGGGAACAAGGAAAGCAAAGCAGCTGAGTAGTGATAGAGAAATTACAACAAAGAATATAAAAATTTATAGTTAAGATAATCAAGAAATGATGTAATAACCATTCTGAAGTTGAGAAATAACAAGGAATAAGCAATGAATTAGAAAAGCAATAATGTGCTGCATCTTTTAAAGTTATATACAAATAAAAGACTTATTTTTATTTTTATTAAAACAACCTTCTTAGCTGCACTTTGATGGGGTTACAAAACTGTCACAGCATCAACCTAAAGGGGTGGGATAGGGAGGGATGGGAGGGAGGTTCCAGAGGGAAGGGATATATGTATACTCAGGGCTGATTGATGTTGTTATATGGCAGAAACCAACACAATGTTGTAAAGCAATCATCCCCTAATTAAAAATAAATTTTTAAAAAAGTCACAACATTAATCCCATCAACAGCAATGTTACTGCAATCAAATTATTTATAAACATTAATTAAATTTGCTATCACCATCACATTATTGCAATGTCAAAGAGACTGAGCCATTTCACTTCCTCATGAAAAATTACATTGATATGGTTACTGAAAGCTTTCAGTAATGAGAAAAAAAATTTTTTTAACAACTTTAACATAGAATAGAATGTTCAGAATCTTATATTTAATAAAAATATCAACAATCAGGGTACCATCTTGGTCTATAAATGATATTCTCCACAAAGAACTTACAAGTGTTTTTAAAACACCATTAAGGGGACACTGGTTAAAGTTTCTCTCGGACACATTTTTTTAAAACCTATTAGTAGCTTTGCCATAAAACTGATTTAAGGTAGTTGTGTTTTTTCAGAAACACTGAGAATAATCCAATACTTGGTATTAATTCTCAGATCAGCACACTGACATAACAGTAACATTTTATAGACTAGCTGCAATTTTCAGTAGCTCTGTTCACCAACCGTGTAACAGAATTGTAGTGTTCTCCTAAGCCATATGCATGTCTCATATAACTGAAATGAAAAAAGGAGAAATAAGTAATTTAGACAAAAGTATTTCACTGTATATACATGTTTTTTTTTTATACATGTTTTATGTATCTAAAACCAAGTACTCTGAATTAATGACTTCACAGGGGTATCATTCAATAGACTTCATTACTTAAAACTTTAACACCATTTAAAAAGCATCACCAGTGAGTAAAACATGGTTCAATAACTCTGCTGAGTTTGTCCGGTAAAACACAATCATTAGAGTGAAAAAAAAGACTGAGATGCAAATTCTTCATGCTGTGTTTCAGAGAACTCTCAATTATGTAAAATACTTTTACAATATAAAGGAAAAAAAAAATCTCTAAAGAATAAACAATAAGGCAGCATGAATGTATTTCAGCTTTTACACTTGCTGAAACTTTTAGCATTATTAATGTCAAACCAGAAAAACATGAAAAATAATCCTAAAATTTTGCAACCTTTAGAAATTACTTTATTCTTAACTCATACATAACAATAAATCACGAAAGGTTTAAACAAGTATCTAAACCATGTATTTTGACAATGCTAATTCTGTAATTGCCTTTAACATGAAATAAGCATAATTAATGTTGCTGAAAATAGACTTGTTTTGATTAATCAACATACATAACTAAAATTTTTCATAATCCCTTTTGTCTTAATTATGAAAAATATTAACAGTAGGGATTTCTAGGTACTTACACAAGTATTAATGGATCTTCTGGATATTCTTCACCAACTACTATAGGAGGAGAATCTGCCTGTATTATCTCTATCGGTGTTCGTAAAATGTGAGACAGGGCTCTTAGCTATAAAAGACAAAATGGAAACTATATATATNAAATGTGAGACAGGGCTCTTAGTTCAAGTTGAGCCCCCCATGCAGCTGTGTTTACAATATCATCACAGTACTTTCCAAACTCTTCTGGAGTATACATTTCTCCAGTATTAGGATTTGTTAAAAATGGCAGAAAGTCTTCCACATGGCTCTGCATATAGTTAGCAGTCTGACACCTTAAGGCAGCCGCAGTCAGAACGCCGTTCTGCTCTTTCAGCTGATCTTCAATGGCTCTATACATACAGTGGCCATCAGATGGAATCTGTTTAATTTCCAACTGTCCAGCTGCCAATATTTGAGCAAGTTTTTCACCTTCTACATGTCTAGCTCCGGTTAAGTTTTCAATTTCAGCTTTGGCTATCCTTTCTTCCCGCTCCTTTTCCAACGCAGCCTTTTTGTCCTGTGTCTTGTGCTTTTGATACCCGAAGTGCCTGATTCTCAAGAACCAAGTTTGAAATATTAACAGCCACAGAATCTATTTTACTCTCTTTAGAAGTCAGCTTCAACTGATCCAGCTCCTCTCTATGTTTCTGTTCCATTTCTGCTTCTAATTTAGCAACATCTTCTGTAAGTTGCTTCCTCCTCTTTTTGTCATTCCTGGGAACAGCGTTCTTCATACTCCGTATTTTGGCTTGCAGCTCCTTCTTCTCTTTGCGATGCCGTCTCACCAGCTGTTCCTCTTCATCAAGCTCTCAGTCAAGACTGCCTCCATGACAGGTAGGGAGCCCAGCACACGCGCTGGGGAGAATCAGCGCCACGGCCTAGCGCCACCTTCCACCTTTCAACCTTCAGCCCACGCACCATTGGCCGCGACTGGCATCCAGCCCCGCCTTAAGGCGGTACCGGATCGGAAGTCCTCTGCCTTTTCTAAAACCAGCTTGAACATCTGGAAGTTCACGTTCACATATCGCTGAAGCCTGGCTTAGAGAATTTTGAGCATTACTTTACTAGTGTGTGAGATGACTGCAATCGTGCGATAGTTTGAGCATCAAGAGTTGACTCACTGGAAAAGACCCTGGTGCTGGGAGGGGTTGGGGGCAGGAGGAGAAGGGGACGACAGAGGATGAGATGGTTGGATGGCATCACCGACCTGATGGACATGGGTTTGAGTAAACTCCGGGAGTTGGTGATGGACAAGGAGGCCTGGCATGCTGCGATTCATGGGGTCGCAAAGAGTCAGACATGACTGAGCGACTGAACTGAACTGAATGTAGTCACAAAGCTAATCTTCCCAAGTTTCAAAGACCCAGGAGAGGCATGTAAATCATTAAGGCATATAAAACAAGTTCCCCCTGGTGGCTAAGAGGTACAAATATAGCACTGCTAATAAAAACACTTTGATGAAGCAATCATGTCATATCTTCAAACTTAATTCTTGAAGTGAAATACGCAGAGCCACAGACTATTTGAGATGGCCAATCATCATTACGCAGTAATATTAATAACACTGCTAGATTCACCCATGTAGCACTTCAGCTTCAAACTTCAATGCATATAGCCTTTGTCTTATTTAATATATACAAGTGGACTAACACGTGCACATGGGGCTTTATTATCCTCATTCAATAATCAGGAAATGAGCTCAGGAGGTTGGCTGACTTCCCCAAAGTCAGAAAACCGAGAAGCAGGAGGCACCAGCCCCCAGACTCCCCTGTTACTCCCTGACTCCTAACACTCCAGGCTACCGCATCACCACCCGGACACTCAACGTGTTTTATCTTCCTTTAATGAAACAAGATAACAGTAAGATACATAATTAGAGCTTTAAAAAAAATCATGATTAACTTCCTAAAAAAGACTAAACATATTTTCTTGCAAGTAAGTTTTAATGCATTAAATACTGCTTTCAAATCAGCCAGTATCAACTAGGAACTCAAGACACAATTGTAATAGATGTGTTATGGTAGGATTTGACCTGTAATCTCACATTAAAATATTGTTTTCTATTTCTGACATTTTCCAATGTGATTTTCATCAGTTGAGCCACTTGGGTAATATTTTGGGTATTTGAGAAAATCTTCACTTTCATAAGTCCATAAACTCAAATATGTTGCCTGTAGCAAGATCACAAATGTAAATATGCAGACACAACACTACCTTCACCAACTCACAAATCAAACACTGGGCTATTTAAAATTACATAGTGCTTCAGCTCCCAAAGGCACATAATTAAATTAAAGGCCTAAGAATATTAACTCCCTACATCAATGTTTTTTCAGTAGAGAAATAGCAAATATATAAAGAAAAGGAACTGTCAAAGAAAAATTTGGATCATCTGAAAAATATGTCTGAAAACTACAGAAGGGATTTAAAAATAATTTAACAATTTCATGATGAATAACAAACTTACCTCAAGTTGACCCCCCCATGCAGCTGTGTTTACAATATCATCACAGTACTTTCCAAACTCTTCTGTAGGAAACAGATCAGAATACAGCACTTTTTAGAACTCATTATTAGATACCTTTTATAACTCCCACAATGCCTGATGAAAATGCCCAAGTTATGAACTTCCTCCTTCTCCAGCTATATCCTCCAGAATTTAATCCATTTCCCAAATCCAAACTTAACTCACTCCAACTTTCCATCCAAGAGCAAAGCAATTCATCTCTGCTTCTCTCCCTCAACCTGAGGTCTAGCAATCTCAACTAAATTATAAGCCTACCTCTCTTGATCCAAGCACTGACCCCAAAACTTCCACCACATTCACACTGTAAAATCCAAATCTGCATCTGAAAGAATATGCTAAAAGGTTAAAAGATGCATCCTCTGTAAAACGGGCTTCACTATAAAACCCTGCAAGAAATGTGAGAAGAGACTAAAGTACAAATGAGTTGAAACTCCTTTCCCAGTGACTCAAATAGTGCCTACATATTTTGGAAATGTTTATTTGTGTCAGTTCTAGCCAAAGAAAGGTCTTCCTGTATTAGTCTTGAGAGGAGATAAAAGAGCTAACTGCAGAGTTTATAGTGGCATATCTTGAGCACACCCACTGATGTTACACAGAAAGTTAAAGTCAGATAAAACACTAACACCCTTCCTGTTTAGAGGAAGAGGAAAAAAATTACGGGCATCTAGGAGAAAATACGTCCTGTATGCCTCTCTTATTCACTGTCTCATAGCCCCAGTGATGAGAACAGTACATCAGCACACTGCAGCCTTCAATAAACATTTGACTAAAGGACGGGATAATTACATCTTTAGTCTTTTTCTCTGATTCACCAAACTGAGGATATCACCTCCTCTCCCCTGCCCAACAACTAGCACAGCTGGGGACTTCATCAAACAAAAGTCAACCCTAACCTTCCCTTCTTCAATCCACCCTGACCATATGTGCATACTGCCACATCTGCCATCTTATCTCAAGAACTAACTTTCTCCCTTACTCCCCTTTTGCTTTCAGAAACTTTTTCAGATTTTTACTTGTTTCCTCCTTTACTTACAAGTTGTGCATTTTTTTTTTTTACCTTCCCAACTATCAAAGTTATTATACAGAATAATAAGGCAGGTTTTGCAAAGTCAAATTCTGCCTGAATATTATGCCTTATTGAGAATAAAATTAAATCTTCCAAAATACAGGATAAAAAGAGGAATTAGTTTTCCTAACCATTCTCTACTGATCGTCTTCAGGCCCGATATTTGCAGAGACTAGGCAAAGTTTAACTTTGTGAAATATGAACTTATTAACACACTTTTTAGACTAGTAATGTGAACCCTATTCCTATTTTTATCTTAAGATTAATATTTTTGGCTACAAAGTAGTTAAGTGCTTAGAAGATCTTGATAAACCAAAATGTGCTATCATCTACTAAAGTCATAGAAAATAATCTTGCCTAAATGTTGAGATTTTTTTCCCCCATAGGACTATTCAGGCTTTCCTTTTTTTCATTCTCAGTTCCAGAAATCACTTTACTTAATAACCATCACAGCTACAACAGCAACAAGACATAACAGAAAAAAATAAATTACCTGGAGTATACATTTCTCCGGTATTAGGATTTGTTAAAAACGGCAGAAAGTCTTCCACATGACTCTGCATATAGCTAGCAGTCTGACACCTTAAGGCAGCCACAGTCAGAACGCCGTTCTGCTCCTTCAGCTGATCTTCAATGGCTCTATACATACAGTGGCCATCAGATGGAATCTGTTTAATTTCCAACTGTCTGGCTGCCAATATTTGAGCAAGTTTTTCACTTTCTACATGTCTAGCTCCGGTTAAGTTTTCAATTTCAGCTTCGGCTATCCTTTCTTCCCGCTCCTTTTCCAACGCAGCCTTTTTGTCCTATGCAGAGGGTAAAATGTAGGAAAGTTAATTCCTAATAATTAGGACTCGTTTACATTTATCATGGGGACAAAAACATAAGATTCTCAAAAACATTTTTCTCCCTTCTCCCACAAGCACTATCAGATAGATGATCTCATCACCTATAGAAGAATTTTCTATACTGTGAACTCTTCTAAAGACAACCAATATTTCTCATCTGTGTGTACCCAGCACCAAGCTGTCTTGGAACAAAACAAGGCTCTCAAATTTTTCTGTGAGGTGTGTTTGAAAACAACATGCCAAGTTTCTAAAAACTTGACTTACTGATTTCAAAGTGCTATGTTAGATTGAGTTGTCCTAGGCCTTAAAGTAACATCATTATCATACTTAAGTCCAAGCTTTATAACTTATCACCCCACCAGTGAGGTCTTAATGTGCTAAATGACCAATTCATGAGCAAGGCATTAATTTTGTTTGGTTTTTTGGAGGGTTAAGGGGGTTTTTTTTTTCCGTTCTTTAAAAAAAAAAAAATGTGCACAAACAAACACACATACACATTTAGCTTAAGTAACAGATAAAAACATTCTTCTTTATTAAAAAGCTATTACAGATAACGCAAAGTCCCCTTTAAGGACCACTGCCAATCTCTCAGTGCCTGCTCAAGAGATCTGATATGTATCCTTCCAGATTTTTTCCTATGCATTTTAATAAATACAGATGTACTCATAGAAAATCTATAGAAAACAGTATTTTAACAAAAGTGCTATCATACATTACATTCTTCAACTTGCTTTCCTTCTATTCAAATTTTCTAAGAAATCTTCCCATGCCAACATATGCAAAGATGGGATGGGGAGAAGGTAATGAGAGATTTATGATATGAAGGATGGATAGGAAGTAGACTGGGAAGGCTAGGGAAAAGAGAGAAAATCCCTGACACTTGGAATAACAAGGATGAAAGGACAGAAAGCACTGTATGTCTCATTCGTGGCTGAACACAGTTCATAGAGCTAGAACACCAGAGAAAAGGATCAAGAGATGAGTGGGAGGCAAAAAAGATGGTACATAGTTCTTAATATGAAAGTCTATGCATACATAGTTCAAAAAGCACTAGAAGGATATACATAAAATTGGGCTTTTCTCTGGATGGGAGGATTACAAAGTAAGTTTTGTTTTGTGTGTGAGCCTGCATGTGTGTGTGTGTGAACATGTTTCTGAATCTCCATGGTATCTTTTAGGTACCACAGTATCCCCCCAGGTGGCTCAACGGTAAAATGTCAATGCAGGAGACGGGGTTCGATCCCTGGGTCAGGAAGATCCTTTGGAAGAGGAAATGGAAACCAATTCCAGTATCCTTGCCTGGAAAATTTCACAAACAGAGGAGCCTGGCAGGCTACAGTCCATGGGGTCACAAAGCCTCAGACACGACTGAGCACGCAGCACATGTGCCTGCCTGTGTGTGCAAACGTCTCTCTAGTTGTCCATGGTATGTTTTATTCGTATGCTGAGAGCAAGTATTTTTAATTTAAGAGAATAAAAAGTTAAACTACATTCTATAAATCTTGATGTACTGGTAACAAGCTACAGTGAAGGATTTGGATAAACCTAGAAAAAGAAGATACAGGTAAAAATTTTTATATCCCCAGCTCTAACCTTTCCTTAAGAGCAGAAAATATGAATGGAAAGGCAAATTTCAATTTCACTTAATGCCACCTGCTTCTACTATGTTCTTGTTATGTGCCATGCCAGATAAAGCTAGTGCTTTCTAAGTCACCTGAATAAAAAGCAGTATTATCTTAATAAACATAAACCAATTTAAGTTTTTTCTTTCCAACTCAAACCATGCCAAAAGTAACATGATACAATTTATTTCACTGCTTATCTACAACTCTGGATCACAGTGGCATAAAACCTTAAAACACAAGATGGCACTATTACTTTTTAAAAGACTACAGAAAACATTTTTCAGAGGGGGGAAGAATAAGCACCTTGAATATCATCTAATCCAAAACCCCTCATTTTCCTCTTCTGAGGAAACAGCACGAAGAAAGATTTCCAAAGGCCATACAGTTGGTCAGAAGCAGAGCAGGGACCAAGGACAGAGAGCTCCTTCTATCCAGGCACCTGAATCAGAATAAAAGTTGGAGCAGATGGGAGCTGAAGTTAATGATGTCAAGAACTACTGGAAAACTGGGACTTTACACTATCTGTAAAACCTTAATTTAAAACCTCTAAAATACTCATCCAAGAATTTCATTTTTTTTCCCCTCATGCTCTGCTTCAATATTACAAAGCAATTGTATTTCCTTTCCAGGACACTAGGTAGAAAACACATCGGATTGTTTTCCCAACCAGTTTTCCAATGGCATGAGCAATTTCCATTTTACCACCCTAGTCCTGGAGATAGAAATGGCATCAATAAACTCTAATGAAAACGTACATAAGGTGAAAATAGCACAATAGCACAACAACTCAAAAATACACTGCCAGTAAAACTAGTCATTTTGGTATAGCAACAGCAAAAACAAGTCTGAAGATAAATCTTAAGAGCTGGGAACTGGTGCAGGAGTTGTAAACTTTTACCATGCCACTGAGACAACGTGAGCCTCAGCTTTCTCATTCATAATATAAAGAAACTGAAGGAGATCCCATTCCAGCTCTCAAATTTCACATTTTTGGAACCCAGTTCTTCTAAGTTCTACTTCAGGCTGTTTCTACCATACCAGTGAGTTTTCCCTGAAGCTCTCTGAAATAAAAAAAATACTTCCTATGCTTTTCTAGATTAAAAATATAGGATCTGCTCTAAAATATTCCAGTAATGAAACTTCATCAAGTTTTGTCATGTTTTTCTACTAGAGAGTTGTATCTCTCCCAAAGACAAACATCATTAGTTAACTGACTTTTCATTCCTTGGTGCCTCTGGGCCAGCAGGGGTGGGAGGCGGGGTGGGAAATGGTTCAAGATAAGTCTTAGACCCAATTATCTACCCTTGTGTTTAGGTCCCATTTTCTTAAAATACTATAAACTCACAGTGTTTTCTGTTCCAAAATCCTGTTAACATAACAAAGCAATAAGAAACTTTGGGCATTACTTACAAGGGTGTTTTCTCTGCCAAGTACTGACTTGGCAGAGAAGTGCTGCCAATCTACTGACTATAAAAATATACATTTTTTGACAGTATAGCTGGAAAACAGTATGATTTCAGCTATGGAATATTTTAGGAGAAAAGTAACAAAATGTTTAAGAAAGGTTAAGTTTGTTCTGTTGCCTAAGGGACAAGGTAGACTGAACAAGTTTTGACAGACATAGAGGAGTTGTGTCCTTTTCTAGAATTAAATAGTTGCAGGATTAAAGAGTTGCTACTCTAAGATACAGGGGCTTCCCTGGTGGCTCAGATGGTAAAGCATCTGTCTGCAATGCAGGAGACCCGGGTTCGATCCCTGGGAGGGGAAAATTCCCTGGAGAAGGAAATGGCAACCCACTCCAGTGTTTTTGCCTGGAAAAGCCCATGGACAGAGGAGCCTTACAGGCTACAGTCCATGGGACTGCAAAGAGTCGGACATGACTGAGCAACTTCACTCTAAAATACATGGGCTTCCCAGGTGACACTAGTGGTAAAGAATCTATTGCCAGTGCAGCAGACTCAAGAAACCCTGGTTCAATACCTGGATCAGGAATATCCCCTGGAGAAGGAAATGACAACCCATTCCAGTATTCTTGCCTGGGAAATCCCAGAGGAGCCTGGCAGACTACAGTCCATGGTGTTGCAAACAGTTGGACACAACAATGAGCACACACACTCTAAGGTAACACTATATAGTACTATACACTAAGCAGAGTCAATTCCAACAAATATTTTGTTATGCAAAATTTCTGCCCTTCACTTCTGACCTATAGAAAATAGATGACAATTATAAGACTATAACAGAAAGAACACATATCGTGAGTAGAGAGCTGGTGAACTAGATAACCTCTAAGATACCATAAAACCTAAATTTCATGAGTCTATGAAGTTCACAATTATAATAATTACTCAAGAATAAAATTTTACATTAGTATAAGAAATGCTTGACAATTTGCAACTTAAGCAACTTTCAAACAAATTGTCTTAGGTTGAATTTCTTAAGCGGTGTACTATGCAGTACTTAAACACAGTGAACAATAGTATCATTTGTTGACCTAGCAGTTCTTTAGGCCTTGTATTAGGGGTTTGGAAACAGTAAATTATTTAACATTCACAATAACTCTATGAAGTAAGTATTATTTTCCTCTGTTCTATACATAAGCTTCCTTGGTGGCTCAGATGGTAAAGAATCTGCCTGCAATGCTGGAGACCCGGGTTCAATTCTTGGGTCAGGAAGATCCCCTAGAGAAAGGAATGTCAACCCACTCTGGAATTCTTGCCTTTAGTATTCCATGGACAGAGAAGTCTGGCGGGCTACAGGCCAAGGGGTCTCAAAGAGTCCAAGGGGTCAGACACGGCTGAGCAACTAACACTTCCACTGTCATTTCATACATGTGAAACTAAGATTTAAAAAGGTTGAGAATCTTATCCAAAGCCACCACAGTGGGATTAAAATCTCCACCTGACTGACACCAATTCCATGCTTTATTAAATGTACATACTAAATTATATTTACTAAAAAAATATATAAAAATAAAAAAATACAAAAAAATTATATGTACTACTAAATCATAAGATACAAGCTAGTTTAAAAATAAACATTTAAATCATAGAAAACATTGTGTTAATAAAACAATATTTGAGCATAAAAAGACTGGATTTAAACTTCTTGTTCTTTTTCAAAGTGAAAAGCCCTTTCCTATCTAATCACATTCCCATAATTTTGATGTCATAAACTTATTACATCCAATAAATCAGTTTCCTTATAGCTCTTTGATGCAAAATTTCATTCTCACATTTGTTTTTGTGCAAGCTGTCTTACTTACTCCACATAGCCTAACTAAATAACTATATTTTCTTAAAATACCAACTATTTACCACTTAGCACAGTGAATTTTTCCTTCTCTAAATTTTCATCACAACTAACCAATACATATATAACTACATAATCCTGTTAATTTTGTGTGCCTATATATCTTAACTTCTAGGTTCAAATTCCTCTTTTACCACTTAATACCATAGTTTTTAACCAAAGCTGTACATCAGAATCACCTGGGCTCACACTCTTCAGATTCTAAATTAAGTCTGGAATAATATATTTGTAAAAAATATCCTTTGCACACCCCCTTTCCTAGATCCATCTTCCTATGAGAACTGCAGACTAGACATAGGCCTGTTTTCTTATCTATAAAATAAGGACAAGAAATCCTACTTGACAGGATTACTGTCAAGACTAAATGAGATTTCATATAATCTAAAGCCTAATAAATGTTAGTTTAGGTCCTTTGACAAGGGAACTCCCATTTTTTTTTTTTCTTATTCCCTTCCAATACAACACCTAAGACAGAATTACGCACATAGCACTAACAAATACTAGGCGACTTTCATACCCGTCTCTTTTGTGCTTTTGATATCCGAAGTGGCTGATTCTCAAGAACCAAGTTTGAAATATTAACAGCAACAGAATCTATCTAAAGGAAACAAAAAACATTACCAAGTTAAGGAAAAATACCTTTAAGTTATTATTCAAAGTATAAGATTATTAAATTACTGTTGCAAGTCACATATTACTTGTCATTCCACAATTCAAATCTGAATAACAGCACTAGATACAATACTAAATGACATGGTTGTATCTACTTTATATTTTAGGGAGAATCTGTCAGGTTCCCAAGAACTTTCCTTACAGCTCTACAAAGACAAAGCTCATGTCTGTATGGTTTCCTTCCTTTTCAGAATGCCTACTCCATTCCTCTAAACACTTCCTACAAGTGCCAATTCATTCAGCACGCCACCCTTCCCGTCTCTGAATGTTTTACTTTATAGAATACATAAGATCCTGTGTTGGCTCAGTTTATACTACTTTCATAACCTCAAAAGTGGGGGCAAAGGCCTTCCTCCATCATAATTAGCCAGAACCTGATGAGCACTGTTTCTTGACCTTAGCAGAAATTTGCCAATTTATAGTTATCATAAAGACATTACAACTAGTCTTAATCATCAATTGACTGTTACGTGTTTGCTGAAGAAAAAAGATGTTAGACTTATTTACTATCAGGATTAACAGCTAGTATTTTATTACCACAACTATATATTAAGCTAGTTTTTAGGTGACACATACATGAAACATATCAAAGCCTCTGATAACAAGAGTCAGCAGTCTCTAAGGCTTTGGCCCAAATAATCAAAATGTCAAAATAAGATTAAGACTTCAAAGAGTGGTTATCAACTTTAGTGAAATAGGATTCTTATATTTTTTCAGAGGAATGTGCTAAAATTTACAAACTGCCATACTGACAACAGGCAAGATACAAAGCAACAACTAGGGGAAAAAAGAGAAAGAAATGACAAAAGAATTCAGGTGACATTCTGGAAGAAAACAAGTTTCAGTTAAAATTTAAAAAGATAATAGTTCAAAGTATGAGGAGAGTTTGTATTTTAACAGTTGGACAATATGTAGAAACAACTTTGACCTTGAAAACCTAGAAAAGAAATCTCACAACTGAAGGGCCTGAGAGACTAAACTATCTCACTAACAGAAAAGATAGGGAGATAATTAGGAATGCCATGACTCTAACAATACAAACACCTGGAAGCATGCCTTCTTACTTGGATTTCAATAAATATGTTAAAGGCAAGGAAGGCCAGGATCTTGAAGAATGGCAAAAGAACTTCAAGAAAATAAAACTATTAAACATACCTATAAATTAGTATAAACAAGCTATTTTCTCTGTCAACAGCAGACCAAAAATAAACCAAGTAAAATAAAATTTATTTATGGTAGATAAAATCTTGCACAGACATAAGAACTTTTCAACTATCAAAAATGAGAGTGAGGTTAGGGAGTCTATGGTCTTTGACATCTAAAATCCATAAGCTATCACTCTAGATAAAAATTATAACAATTCAGCATTCACCTTTTGGAGTAAGACAGCTCTAATTTTGAATTCAGGCTTTGGTACTCAATGGTTGTTATAAATTTAGAATGAAGTTTTTAATCTCTCTGAGTCTGTTTCCCATTTTAAAAATGGGATTATCGACACTTCAGAGGTAACACTGACTAGTTATTGTGAGAATTACTTGAGAAAATGAATAATATGTTAAAGTATGTGGCATACAATACATCGTGTGCAACTACAATGATCAAATAAATATTAGCTAAACTGATGACAGTTAACATGCTCCAATTTACCCAAGAAACATCAGTAAATTTCTATTTAATACAACTTGCTCATAAAGCATTTTCATAACTTAAAAAATGTTTTCACATTTATTCTATTTCTTAGAAAAATCTTGTGCTTAAACAGTAGTATTTGTATCATATATGTGAAGAAATTGATGCTCGAGAAGATCAAGTAAATGTGCCCAGGTTCAAATCCTATTTAATAGCAATTCTGACACTAAGAAACTAGTCTTCCACTTTCTTTTGGTAAAGCTTCCTCTAGCCCATTTTATCAATCTGTTCATCTCTGGGGCATTAAGACTTTCTTTGCTGACCTTCCTTAAAAAACACACTACCATGTAAATCTGATCAGAAAAATAACAATGAAAAGTGACACCTGAGCATGACTAAGTTCCCTCTTTCCCTCCAGTTTTACGATTTTATATAGTTCACTGTGTTACAGAAGTGGACAACTGCTTTCCGATGTTGTAGACAAGGAGAAACATTACTTTCACATACTTTACTCTCTTTGGAAGTCAGCTTCAACTGATCCAGCTCCTCTCTATGTTTCTGTTCCATTTCTGCTTCTAACTTAGCAACATCTTCTGTAAGTTGCTTCCTCCTCTTTTTGTCATTCCTGGGAACAGCATTCTTCATACTCTGTATTTTGGCTGAAAAGCCACCAAAATCATTACGTCAAAAACCCAGGGATTAAGAGGAAATAAGAAATAATAGCAATAAGAAGATGGTAAGAAGAAAAGAGTATAGGAAGAAAGTAATTATGAAAGCAAAAAGAGAAATTACAAAACAGACAGTTACAGAGAAGAGTCCAGATGAAGCTAAGACCCTCTCTCAAAAAAATAATAATAATAACATAACCGTGAGTTTGGTGTGGGATGAGGAAAAGGGTAGAGACTTAAATGTTTAAACCTTTCAACTATCCTTTCCGAGTCCTTAAAACTGAGGTGAGATATTTCAAAACGCACCCATTAGGGCCAAGTGTCGGTCAACTAGGGCAGGAACAGCAAAGGGGGGCCTGGGTCCAAGACGGCGGCTTCCAAGGGTTTTCAGAAATCCGCACCCCGGGGTCCTCGCAGGAAGGGGGTTACGCGGCGCATCCGAAAAGAGGAAGCTTTTGAAGGTCGAGGGGGTTTAGGGGGCTTGGAGATGCAGGTCACTGGCAACCCTGAAGAAGCCTAGGATTCAGAAGTCCCTCAACGTTCCCCAGAACCGACCCGCCACGCTCCCTTCCCTGGATCCTGGCGACTCCTGGGTTCCCACTCCCCCGTCACCTTGCAGCTCCTTCTTCTCTTTGCGATGCCGTCTCACCAGCTGTTCCTCTTCATCAAGCTCCTCAGTCAAGACTGCCTCCATGACAGGTAGGGAACCCAGCACACGCGCTGGGGAAAATCAGCGCCACGGCCTAGCGCCACCTTCCACCTTTCAACCTTCACCCCGCGCGCCATTGGCCGCGACTGGCATCCAGCCCCGCCTTAAGGCGGTACCGGATCGGAAGTCAAAGAGCTGCGCGTGCGCACTCATTTGACCCGCGCTGATAGGGCGGGGCGGCGGGGCGGCGGGGTGGCGTGCGTCGGCCGGATGTGGGTGTGGCTCCGTCGGCTGAAGTTTGCGAGTGAGCGCTAGTCTATTGGCCCTGACTTGAGGCGTGCAGATGACGAAGCTTGAGGCGTGCAGAGATGACGTAGGGGGAACCGTTTTGGACGTTTGTTTTGTTCGTTAATCGGAACATTTTTCTCTTTTGGTTCCATTGCTCAGAAAGGTTGTTCAAAAGGTAAGAAAGAAAAAAACATTTCAACAAAACCTTGAATATTCTCTTTGGGAATCTTTGTGTTGATTCATTCAAACAGTAGGGAATTAAGTTCTTTTTCTTATTTTCAAGGTCCTGATACTGCAGGTCCGAAGGAAAACAGCTAATTGAGAAAATGCCGCCTCTTGAAACGAATATAGCGGTGGAAACAGAAGAGATAGTAAGGATTAAGTATCATATCGCACCAGAGCTTAAGGACCTATGCTTGATGATAAAAAGTGCTGTTGTCGGAGCACTTGAAAAGTGTGAGGGAGCTGAGAGAACAGAAATGTTCAAGTCTGATGGGGCACAAAATCGAATTACTGAAGTGAACGCAAAACGAGAAATTTTCACAGCATGCAGGAAAAAAAAAAAAGAAAGAGAAATCAAGTAAAGAGAAGAAGGAAGACCTCGATGGCCTGTGGTAAAATCTACGCGTAATAGGAATACCTGAAACAGAGGACAAAGCAAATGAAGCTGAAACTGTAATTAAGGAACTAACTGAAGAAAAATGTTCAGAGTTAAAAAAGAAACTAGATCTAGAAGTAGAAAAGGCTTGCAGGGTACCATTAAGTTTAAGTGAAAAGAAAGCAGTACCTAGATATATCCTGCTAGTATTTTTAAATTGGAAAGGTAAAGAAAAAAAGTCCACAAGTATCCCAGAGAAGACAAGCCACTTATAAAGGGATGAAAGTTAGCCTGACCTCATACTTTTCCCTTGCAACTGTAAATGCCAGAAAACAATACCTACAGTTTCTGCTCAGAGGCTCAGTCTTATCCTGCTCTTTACGACCCCATGGACTATCAGACTCCTCTGACCGTGGGATTCTCCCAGCAGGAATAGTGGAGTGGGGTGCCATTTTCTCCTCCAGGGGTCTTCCCCACCCCAGGATGGAACAGGTGTCTCTTTTCCCTCATTCATTGGCAGGCGGATTCTTTACCACCTGGGAAGCCCATCTATGGTTTTAAGGGAGAATAGTTTTGAACCAATTCAATATCCTGACAAGTTATTTCTGTACCAAGGCAACTGGAAGCATTCACAGATATGCAGAGGCTGAGAAAGTGTATCTTTTAAGTACTGCCCTTGAAAACTTTGTTAAATGATGTACTGCAGCCAACAAAAAACATGGATTAAAATAATAAGAGTGAGGAGGCAATAGTATAAAAAAATTGGTGGTAAGGTTTAGTTAAACAGCCTTAAGTTTACAGTGTTAGGTAGAATTATAAAACTAAATGCAAAAATAAATATGTGAACTGGGTCTAAAATTTCAGCTTATAAGCTTAAAAGGCATGCTAAATGTTCAATATGTAAAACAAAAACATACACTTTTATTTTTAGCATGTAAAGATATGCATGTTCTTAAGTTAAACATGTAAAATAAAAGGACTTTGTCACTGTGGACAGAACCTGTAGAATAAAGGGATATCAAATGTTAACCTGAGAAAATGGGAAAACCAATAGTACAGTCTTGTTTCCTCTAGTTTTAGTTACAGAAGGGGGAAAGTAGCAAACTTGTAATGCTAATACTAGTAAAGTGAAAAGAAAATTTATAAATTATTAACTGGTGTGGTAGTGGATTGAAACCTTGTTTAAAGTACATCTTGCCTGTGGAAAATCAGTACCTACTGCTTTATGTAGTAGATCATTGTAGGTAAATTTGACAATAAATGTTACAAATAGAGAGTACATATTCAAATTGTAGAGGAATTGGTGAAAAAGAGCAAGGAAGCATTAAAATTGGCATAAGATAGATTGATACAGGTACTGCTGAGTTACCACACTCAAACTGGTTAAATGTTCCTATTTTAAAAGATTGAAACTGGGTCAAAAATCAATCTATAACCCTGGATACTCAAATTTGTAGAAAACAAACTGTAAGAGTTTAAAGATAATGAAAACAATAAGTCATAGAAATGCAAGTAGGGAGCAATATTTTTATTAGACAACTCAAGCTATAACATATTTATAAAATATACAGTACAGGTTGTAATATTTAGGATGCTTTATGTGGTAGATAACCTGGCATTCATTGTAAAATAAATGTTCAATACCTTCCTATGAGTGATAGTTTTACTGATGTATACATGTTTTTAAAAATTGTACATTTAAAATTAGTGCACTTTATGTGCTTAGTATTAATAAAATAATCCTTTAAAGAAAATACACATCGTGAAAACCGTTGGACTGTGAATTCAATACTTAAAAATTTAGTAAGCCAAATAAATGAAAAGTTGAGATAATTAAGAAGTAAATAGTTCAGAGGTGTGTGTGCATTCAGATTATTTTCAAATTGTCCTGAAACATTTCTTAAGTAATCTTATACTAGGGTGCAGAGAAAACTTTAATATATTTCTAGAAATCACAAATGATCACATTGCAAAAAAGCCTAGGAGCTAAGTTAAATGCTGAAAAATAACATTTAAAAATTCTTACTGTTATGAAATAGATTATAATAAATGCTGATAATTTAGAAACTGCAACAATAAGGACATTATGAGTTGTATATTATGGGGTGGATGTACAAAAGGCAGGAAGCTAGGAAGGAGAATACTAGATGAAGGATGGCATATGCACCTAGGAAAGACCTAGTTACTGAACTTTCTAGATTTTGCTACCTTCCAATTCTAAGAAGTGGATTTACTTCAATATAAATTATTCTAACTGCCACAGTTCTTGTTCAGTTGCTAAGTCGTTCAGTTGCAACACCATGGACTGCAGCACACTAGGTTTCCCTGTCCTTCACTATCTCCAGGAGTTTGCTCAAACTCATGTCCTTCGAGTCACTGAGGCCATCCAGTCATCTCATCCTCTGTAGCCCCCCTTCTCCTCCTGCCTTCAATCTTTCCCAGCATCAGGGTCTTTTCCAAGGTTCTAAACATCAGGTGGCCAAAGCCCCCTTCTCCTCCTGCCTTCAGTCTTTCCCAGCATCAGGGTCTTTTCCAGGTTCTTCGCATCAGCTAGCCAAAGTATCGGAGTTTCAGCTTCAGCGTCAGTTCTTCCAATGAATATTCAGAACTGATTTCCTTTAGGATGGACTGGTTTGATCTTGCAGTCCAAGGGACTCTCAAGAGTCTTCAGCTCCACAATTCAAAAGCATCCATTTTTTCAGTGCTCAAAACTTTTTATGGTCCAATGCTCACATTCTGTAATGACTACCGGAAAAACCATAGTGGCAGATTTTTAACATAATAACTGAATTTTACCATAATGAATTCTAAGGACTTAACAGCTGACTCTTTAAAGAGAGAGAAGCTAAATTCTCAACTCTCATCACCAACTACTACCCCTCTCCCCGTCACTGTTTTGTTATTCCTTTCTCAGACATCTATATAATTCTTTTTGCTCTAAAATCTTTATTGAAAAGTATCATCCTCAGAAAAGCATCATGAGCACTACCTGGGAGCTTGTGAGAAATGTATGTCAAGGTAACAGTGGCACAGATTATATTATAAAATGTATTATTAAGCATCTATAAGCCTTCTCAGTTCACACAGTGCATTGTACATTATGAATATTTAATAAGTGTTAAACAGTATTAGAATCTAGAAATAGGTTTGCTCAAGCAGTGTTATTGTATGAGAGATTCTGTGCTTGAACTGTAAGGTATTGCAGCATCCCTCTTTAAATCAATGATTTGGTCTCATTTTCTAAATATTTCAGGTGAGAACTAGTGCTTCTGTTTTTCTTTGTGAAGATGGAACACAAGGAAAACCAGATTGAGCAATCCAAATTTTTAAATGTTGAAGGAGTACAACTTAAAATGGTAGAAAGGCAATTTCCCTATGGTCCAGTGGTTGAGAATCCACCTTCCAATGCAGGGGACCTGGGTTTGGTTACTGATCATGGAACTAAGATCCCACATGCCACAACTTCTGAGCATGCATGCTCAGTCAGCCCACACACAAGAGAAGCCCTAAGGGAATATTTGCACTGCACTGCAACAGGAGAAGCCTCCACAACACAACAAAGACCCCAAACAGCCAAAAAATGTAGTGAATAACCATGAAGTAGATTTAAATCAGATATTTCAAGGTTTCTGAATAAAATCAAAGATCCACTTACAGCAGATATATATAATTGATAACAGGTAGATAAGAGCATTGGCAATAATTGTAATGGTAGCTTTAGTAAGTTACAGTACTTTTTTGATCCGTGAATGATCTACTCCCCTGAAGGTGATATAACAGCTTTCTATTAGCAAGGGAAAACCAGACCAGTGATGCTCAAATTTAAATACGCAAGCCAGTTGCCTGGGAGTATCATATTAAGATGCAAATGTTGATTCACTAAGTTTAGGGTAAAGTTGAGATTTCTTGCAAATCTCAACTGGGATGGGGTGTTGTTGCTGCCACTTTGAGTACCTACCACACTTTCAAGTAGAAAAATAAAATCTGTGTTGTATCTACTGTCCATGAAAAGGAGGCTCAAAAAAGGTAATTGGCTTAAGACCACATAGTAACAACCAAATCTGATCTCAAGGTCAGTTTATACCATCTATATATACAATCCTGTCTTCATCCATACTACAACAACTATGTAGAAGATTGTTGTGAGGAAAAAATAATAATGAATAAAGCTCATTACTACATTACCTATGTACCTTAGGTAAGGTACATAGTTTCAGAAAACAATGGTTCATGGAAGGGAAAATGAATTTTGTTTGTAACATGTTGAGCATTATTTGTGACAGGGACATTTGTGGATAAGTCAGACAGGTATTTAGGTCCAGAGCCAGAAGAGATGTCATGATTGGAAATTTAGATTTTAGTTTTCTGACTTAAAGATGGCATTTGTATCCATGAGAAATCACCCTGGAAACAATGATAGGAAATAGAAGAAAAAAGAAATGGAGATTAAACCTTAGGGGACTCACCTATATTTGATGGGTATGTATTAAAGAAGAATGAAATATATTGAAATTTATAGTTTCAACTGAATTAAACATCAAAAATAATGCACTACAGTCACTTTGAGTTGAATAATGAGTAGGAGGACTTTTTATCTTTAAAGAATCAAGCAATGCAGGAGACCCAGGTTCAATTTATGGGTCAGGAAGATCCCCTGGAGAAGGGAATAGCAACCCACTCCAGTATTCTTGCCTGGAGAATTCCACGGACAGAGGAGCCTGGTGGGCTACAGTCCATGGGATCATGAAGAGTCAGACATGACTGCGCAACTAATACTTCAGATTTTTTAACTGATACTTTATGAACTATAAAAAATCTGTAATAGCACAATTATTCCATTTGATTCTAATTTTGTGATTCACTAGTACATGTCTGTATCTATTTGATTTTTGAAACTGGTGGTAGTTATGTTCTCAAGTTTCTTAAACACTGAAGTAGTGAATACCATATCATTCTCCCTAGAAGAAATACAGAATTAGGTTTCTGCAAGCCTCTGATCACATTATTGTCACCAAATGATGTATGCATAACCTTGTTTTAAGATACCTTATTTAGTATCTGTTGTTGATTCACTAACATTGAACCTATGGCCAATAGAACTGTGACTAATGGCCTCAATTAATGTTCAGTTCAACTCTTAGCAACCCTATGGACTGCAGCACACCAGGCCTCCCTGTCCATCACCAACTCCCAGAGTTTACTCAAACTCACGTCTATAGGGTGGTAATGCCATCCAACCATATCATCCTCCATCGTCCTCTTCTCCTCCCGCCTTCAATCTTTCCCAGCATCAGGGTCTTTTCAAAGGAGTCAGCTCTTCACATCAGGTGGAAAAAGTATTGGAGTTTCAGCTCCAACATCAGTCCTTCCAATGAACACCCAGGACTGATCTCCTTTAGGATGGACTGGTTGGATCTCCTTGCAATCCAAGGGACTCTCAAGAGTCTTCTCCAACACCACAGTTCAAAAGCATCAATTTGGCGCTCAGCTNACTTTACTAGTGTGTGAGATGAGTGCAGTTGTGTGGTAGTTTGACCATTCTTTGGCATTGCCTTTCTTTAGGATTGGAATGAAAACGGACCTTTTCCAGTCCTGTGGCCACTGCTGAGTTTTCCAAATTTGCTGGCATGTTGAGTGCAGCACTTTCACAGTGTCGTCTTTTAGGATTTGAAATATTTCAACTGGAATTCCATCACTTCCACTAGCTTTGTTCGTAGGGATGCTTCCTAAAGCCCACTTGACTTTGCATTCCAGGATCTGGCTCTAGACAATTAATCTTACCTAACACATATTTTGTCTATGAAGTACTTAAGAACAATACACTACCCTTAGAGACCATTTTAAACAGCAAAATCACTCATAAAAAGCATAAAATTCCAAAAATCAAGTAATTGTATCTTGAAAAGGACAATTGTTTACAGTATGAGAACTGAGGCAAGGTAAGGTGTCACCTTGTTCCAGTTCATCAGGGATTACACATTTCAGGTGACTTTTTTTTTTTTTTGGCTGCTCTGCACATCAATGGGCCATTAGTTTTTATTTCAAGGTTACTAATTTCAGTAAATGAATTCACAAAGAATCTGTGAAAAATAAGTATAAACTAACTCAACATGCTTTGTTCAGTATTTTTTCAACTTGAGTTTGGGAAGTCATATTTCTACTAATGAAGCCTAAAAATTCTGGCTTTTTTTTTTTTAAGAGAGTCCAAAATGACTGCCACAGATTCAAGGATCAATACAAAGGTTCTAAAGGACTTGTACGTGGTTATCATGATCTGCTCAGCAGATTTTGCTGCATTCTTTTCTGTTGGCACTGAGCCAGAAAATCTAGCTTACTAGAAACATCATTTCATTGTCCTCTCTGGGACAGCAGGAGAATATTTCCAATATGAAACAGGAGGAGTTGAAATCTAAAATACCTTTTCCCAACTGTTAATTTCAAAGAATTCTCAGGAGGATTAAATGATGTTACGAATCTATATTCCAGAAAAAATACAGGAAAATTCAGAGTTTCCATTTTCTGTTTGGTTGGCAAGACTGCAACTATTTATGAAACGAGATTGATATTCAAGGGTCACAAATTACCTCAGCAGGGTTACACACAGCAGAGGGACTTAGTTTTTATCAGTTGGCAATTTTGAGCCAGTC